AAGARGTCCTCTCRGGTGCTGATGACCTTGAAGATGTCTGGGAGCTTGAGGCCGTGGAAGACACTGAATTCGGCCGGGGAGGAAGACAGAAGAGCAAAAAACATTCAAAATTATAATGTAAAAGGTCGCTCCTGGTTGGGATCGAACCAACGACCGTTCGGTTAACAGCCGAACGCTCTGCCGACTGAGCCACAGAAGCTGTGAAAAAACGAATGAGTGAATTCATTTTTGTAGCGGAAATTTTTACTCATTTTTTTTTAATAATTTAAATTTCTTCTTAATATAAATATATTAGAATTTATCCCTATTGGATAGAACAATTTCATAATAGTTATCTCCCCTAAACAAATTTTTGGTATAAAAACAGAACTAACACACCTATCAAATATAGAAATAAATGAAAAAACTTCCATGAATCAATTTTGGTTTCAATGTTCACCCGATTGAGATGATATTTTTAGATCAATCATTTAATGAAGGACCTTCAATCTGACCAAATAATCAATGATTTATAAAGAGTTATTGATCAATCAATCCATCAATCATATATACAACAAACAAATATATATATATATATAACAAACTATTTATTTATTAATTAAATATTAACATAATAATATAATGCAAAACTTAAAGGTCGTAGTTGTTGGTGATGGAGCAGTTGGCAAGAGTTGTCTTCTGATCGCATACACTACCAATGCATTCCCTGGAGAATATGTAGTAAGTAACATCAATCCAGACTTATGTGGACCATCACTCACTAACATAATCAATCAATCAAATCAATCAATCAATCAATCATCAGCCAACAGTGTTTGATAACTACTCTGCCAATGTGATGTTTGAAGGAAAGCCTTTCAACATTGGACTGTTTGATACTGCTGGTCAAGAGGACTATGATAGACTGAGACCATTGTCATACCCACAGACTGACGTATTCATGGTCTGTTTCTCTGTTATATCACGTGCCTCCTTTGAGAACGTCAAGTACAAGTGGCACCAAGAGATCGTGCACCACTGTCCAGGCATCCCCATGATCCTCGTCGGCACCAAGTGCGATCTCAGAGGTTCGGGCAAGCCCGAGATCTCGCAGAAGGAAGCTCACGACCTGGCCAAGGAGCTAGGCTACATCGGCTACGTCGAGACGTCCGCACTGGTTCAGACCAATCTCAAGCAGCTGTTTGACACTGCCATCAAGGGCACCATGTCTGGCGCCTACAAGAAGTCCAAGGCAACCAAGACCAAGAGTGGCAAGCCAATGCCAGTGCCACCCGCCATGCCACCCGCAGGCAAGGCACCATGGATCAACATCATCACCTCGACGTACGAGAAGGAGATGAAGCAGACGCTCGATCATCAGAAGTTTGCCGATGTCAAGTTCACATTCGAGAATGACAAACCCATCCTCGCTCACAGAGTAGTACTATGCTCGGCCTCACAGGTGTTCCGTCGTCTGTTCGCCGTCACACTCAACACTGATCACTCTGCCTTCACACCAGAGGACATTAGCGAGGGCCGCGTCAAGGGCATCGTCGCCAAGAAGACCGTTCCCATGGCTCACTATGAAGATGGATCGCTTTCAAACGGTGAGCAGGTCGAGATCCAGGTTGCTTCAAAGATCAGCAGACGCATCTTCTATCGCTACCTCGAATTCATTTACACTGGCCTTCTAAACTGCGTGGACAAGACCGATCAGCTCAAGGAGACTATTGAAGTGGCCGAGATGTTTGAGTGCAAGTATCTGGTTTCAGCCTGCAAGAACCTTGGCAATGGCGCTGAGGATCTCAACCCAAGCATTGGAACATTCTTGAACGACGAGATTGGTGAGCGCAGCAAGGAGCTATTCTTTGACAAGAAGATCTTCTCGGATATTCAGTTTGTCGTCGAGGGCAAGACATTCTACGCTCACAAGGCATTCATCTATGCTCGCTCCAACGTCATCAACTCATACATTGCGTCAACCAGCACATTCTCGGAGCGTGATGATGCCACAATCAAGGTCGAACAATCCACCTCTGACAACTTCAAGGCCGTTCTCGAGTACCTGTACACAGCCCACGCACCCATTGAGGAGGGCGACTCAGTCGGCATCCTGGTGCTGGCCAACCGTTTTGGACTTTCGCGTCTGGTGTCTCTGTGCGAGCTGTACATATCAAAGGAGATTGAGAAGGCCACCGAGGTGGGCATCTTCCGCTCGGAGTTGGACATCATTGGACTGCTGATCTGCGCCAAGGCACACAATGCCGAGCAGTTGTCCAAGTTCTGTCTGCACTTTATCTCGTCCAACTACCAACCCATGAGGAAGAGAAAGGAGTTTGAGAAGCTGGACAGCTCCACCAAGAAGTATCTGGAAGAGAACCAGTGGCCTCCAGTATGGTACATCACCGCCTGTGAGGAGTACGAGCAAGAGATGGCCAAGTTGAACGACAAGAACTGTTCAATCATGTAAACATCCCTCCAGCCTAGCATACCTTTCCCTGTCTTCCACCTGTCTTATCATTTTTTTCCCCTCCAACTATATAACAACAACTTAAGTAAATCCTTTTGTTCTTTCCACTTTGTAACAAGTCCCATTGATTGGTTGATCTAGTGGAATGATCCCAGGTTTGGTGATTTTGGTTGAATGAGTGGAATGATTCCAGGTTTTGATTTGATTGATTGTACATATGCTACAACGAACGATCATCATTGTTTAATTGATCATTATTACTCATCAGTGCTCTGGATCATCATCATATCACTGTTTGGGAATTCTGATCGTCTGATTCGGATACTACAAGAGACTGGATTTGATTGGAATTGATTGGAATGATGATCAGTCTCGTGTTGGAATGATGACATCGAATGAATGGATGGATGAATGTTCAACTTACTCTTCTCGACCTTTTGTAGATTGCCCTCAACCATTGTAACCTTTGATTGAAGGTCTTTTGAAAGATGTATATACTTTAGTCCAGTGTAGATGGTCCTTACAAACTCATTGACCAAGAAGCATTCTTCATAGTTCTTCTGTGTCACGCAGTTTGTTGCATATCTCATCAACTCTCCGGTGAGGTCTGCCAGTCCAAGTAAATAGTCCTCAATCGTTATTATCGTTCCTATTGTTTCCTGTTGATCATTTAACCTTGTCAGTGACTTTGATGGATTGAATGAATGAATGATTGAGGCTGGTGTGCCAGACAAGACATTACATTTCCAATTGACTTCTTTATCTTGTTGTGTATCTCATCAAGAGTGACTAGTTTACGAGTCATTAGATAGTGTTGGAATGATACGGCTTCAATGTACTCTTGAAGTCCCCATGTGAATGATCGTTGATACTTCCAATACTCCTCATTCTCCAACTCTTTCATTATCTGTGCAATCATCATATTTATCTTATCCAGATCCTTATTCGATTGATCTATCAATTGTTGTTGATCTTCAAAGCAATAACTCTGTAATGTAGATATCACCTTCTTACTATTGATAGTTATATCACGACTTATCTTTACAATCCTCTCTCGTCTATCATTCTGATTAAGTGAGCGACACTGTGAGTGATGTGATCAATAGACAAGTCCAATCAATGATACTTACTGATTCATTCAATTGATCTTTGTACGACCTGAAGAGAGTGACGATCTCACTCTCATTTGGTTGAGGTTGGTCTGATGATCGCTGTCCTTGGTCATTCCTTTGATACTTTTGGTTACGTCCACCACCACCTGCTTGTTGTTGTTGATTATTATCTGATGATGATGATGATGATTGATCACCTCCACTAACAGTATCCCTATTGAACCTCTTCATTTCTAACAAACTGGAGATTTGTAAAGTGTTATTGTATGTTCATTTAGATAATTTATCACACGACTACAAGCCAAGTTCAAGTTATATTGTGTAGTGTTTTTAATTTTAATAATAATTATAAATATTGACATTACTCAAATAAATAAATGGTAATTAATTACATTTTCCTAAACTATAAATAAATCCAAACATTTATCTCTCTTTTACCAAACTTTGATTGATATATATGATCCACGTTGGTTAGTCCTCCACCACTTACCGGTAAGTTAACTTTATCTCAAAATGATTATGGTGATTGATCACATCACTCCACCAATATTATGCCTTCTGAACTTCTTCATATCTAACTACAATATAATATACCCTTTGGAAATGGATACTTTGATCGTCCATATGATCCTGAATTCTTTGTACCAGGTTCTAATGGTGGCTACATAGTTAAAGAAGATATCAATGAAGATAATAATGATTATTCTGATGTTTGGGAACCAAATCGTAATTAGTCCTGTTTAAACAAATAAATATATCCAATAACTTGTCTACTTGTCTGTCCAATGTCAAAACTCTTCGTGAATCATCCACGTGGATGGATGGATGATGTTTATTGAGATATATCATTCATTCATTCCTCAATGTCGTCTTCTCGGAGCACTTCATTGTTTCCATACAAAATCCTTATTCCTGGTAGGCTATCCTCATCATCATCATTATCTTGGTTATTCTTGTTGTTTTTGTTGTTGTACCTATTGTTGTTGTTGTTGTACTTGTATCGATTGTTGTTGTTGAATGATGACGATGATGATGATCCTCCACCACCAACACCAGATTTGAAATCGGTCTCCAATTCATTACGCTCTTGCTTTACAGTGTCCTTGTCATTGAGTTGATTCTCTCTAAAATTACCAAATGCCATGTAGCCATTGGGATTGATGGCCAAGCGATCGAGCATTGCCTTGCCCTCACTCTTGAAGAATGTTGAGTAAGGATGGCTCAAATCATGATACTGTTTGATATTACGTTGTCGACTGATGTATAGCAAGAATGGGAGAGTGTGTGACAACATTGGTGACTGTTCATACAATGACATTGATTGCATCGGTTGAATGATTGCTGCCAAGCTACCAGACGATGATGTACTACCACTACTGCCACTTGACCTGTTGTTGTTGGAGGTAGACCTGGATGTAGTAATTGACTGTGATTGGAATGTTTGAGCCAGGTATTGCTGTGAGATCAACTGTTGATTGAAAAGGAAGTCGCGGAGGTTGTCTTTCAGTGTCTGACAGTGTTGTGTGGACTGATGGAAGTGAGGCTTGACAAACTGGAAGTACTGGCGAGAGGCCGGTGTGTTGTGAGAATAGGTGAATCCTCGCAGTGAAACTGACATGGCCTGGGGATTGGCCGTGTCGAATGTGATGTGTGACTTTGAGGTGGAGATGATGTCGGCGTCGCTCAGATACTGCATCGTGTCGCTGACCTCGTCAATGTCCACGTAGAATGACAAGAAGTTCTCGTGAAGGAATGATATAAACATGCTGCCATCCACATGAGAGTGTTCAAACACCTCCTCAGGTATGTTCTCCAAAGGTGCTCGATTGTACTTTTCCTTGTACCATAGGTTTTTGTTGTTGTTTCCTGTGGCAACTACATTGACAAGGTGTCAGTAAGGTCGGACGTTCAGGCCAGAGTAAGTTAACTTACTTCGCTTGTTGTAGAGTATTTTGCCTAGTGAGTGGAACAGGGATAGAGAGTGCTCCCTGTTCTTGGACTTGTCGGCTGCTGACTTGGAATCGGAGGCACTCTTCTTTGTGGCCTTCTTTGGCTTGACAATGACCTCTCTATTCTTTCCAACACAGTGAAACTCGAGAGAGTTGATCGCGGCACGAATATCACCTCCACTCTCCAATCGAATCGATTCCACAATGTCGTCCTCCACCTTGTATCCCTCTTTGATTGTCATTTCCTTCAAGTACTTAAACATTGTAACAGGGGCAACAGCGTTGAATCTAGATTCGGAATCATATGAGTGAGTGTGAGATAAGATGAGATTGAATAGGATTGAATAGCTTCGTGATACTTACGCAATCTGCTTTGTATGTACATTGTTTTGCAGTTGATAATCAAGTAGTTGATTGAGTCCAGAGTTGCCAGCAAAGCTGTCAGAGTAGATAAAGATAAGTGGATAGATGGTACGTTTGAGAAACATTCGGAATGATTGTCTAAACTCATCGAGAACATGTGGCTGGATATTCGGTAACTCCTCAATTAAGAGTAGCTTCTTCTTGCCTGTTGTCGCTCCAAACAAATCGCATCTAATTGTTAAGGAGTTAGGATATATGTATATATACTTGTGCAAATCCGAGATATCAAATTACCTTTCGTTTGACTTTAGCCAGTTCTTAAAGGTCTCAAACTGTGGCGTGTAGTTACTCCTGACCTTGTCGTCTTGGTTCTTGATCACATCCATCACGGGATTGATCCACTCTTCAATCTGAAAAGAGAAGATGTTGGCCATTACCTTGATCAGGGCTGTCTTACCTGCTCCGGTCGGTCCTGTCATTATCAACATCTTTTGAGTCTACGTTGGCATGTCACAGTGTCGTGAGTGAGTAAATGAGTGATGGATGGTGGAATGGGGACCACTTACGATGAGTGTGCTGTTCGATATCTCTTTGCAACGATCTTGGAACCAGTTCTTGACCTCATCCACTTTGTTGCGATGGATGACCAATCTGATATCCTCCTCAGTCTTGGGCTCGTGCTTTTCGATCCAAGGTCGGACGTCCTTTGTCTTGGCTGACCTGTTGTTGTTATTGTTGTTGTTGTTGTTGTTGTTGTTGTTGTTGTCCGTTGTCTTGGTGGTCGAATAACTGTCAACGTTGAATATATCGTCAATGAAGTCGTTTCCATGTTGAATCTTTATCGTGGATGTTGTTGTTGTAGATGGGGATTGATCACGTGATTGGTGTCCGCCAACACCAATACTACTACTACTTGAGTGACCATTGATAACAATTGGTTTGCCATGTGTCGAAAGTGATGACAAGGAGACTGTGGATGCAGAGATACCAGTGATGACTGACTTGCCAATTGATGTGTCGTTGTCTTTCCTTGCAAACTTGGACCGCGGTAGTTGCTTTTTGATCACCAATGGATCATCCTCTTCGATATCTTCTGGCTGTTGCTGTGGTGTCAGTGTTGGTGTTGGTGTCAATGGCGGTGTTGTTGGCGTTGGTTGTGACTCATCGCCTGGCTGCTTCCTCTTTCTGAACTCTGGTAGTTTGGTCAACACCACTTCCACCTCAGGCAACGACGAAGGTGTTGGCTGTGATGGAGGGGTTGAAGATATTGGCGTGCTTTGTTGTGTCTTTCTTCTTGTTGTTGGTGTACTACTGCTGATGCTGCTGACTATGTCGATCTTCTTAATACTACTGCTGCTCGTGCTGTTGATACTGCTGTTGCTACTTGTGACGCTGATGCTAGACAACTTGAAGTCATCCTTGTGTGAGTACTCGCTGAGATGGCTCTCAGAGTGTCGTTCGGGACAGTCCTCTAGGGTGGCATAGATGCACTCAAACTTGGTATCCTCTGATGATGTTGACAGGGCTGGTGCAACAAACTTTGTTGCTGTTTTTGACGCATTGGATGATGATGATAATGAAGCGCTATTGTTGAGGACAGGAGATACAGGTGGTGACTTATTGTCACGTGACAATCCTCCCCTCAGTGATGTTGAACCACCTGTCTTGTTGCTACTACTACTGCTACTGCTACTGCTACTGCTACCGCTACTGCTACTGCTGCTGAACATCATCTTCTTCTTGTTGCTACTACTGCGATCATCTGCTAACAATGAACTCTTTGATGACGACGATGATGAAGATGATGAAGACGAAGACGAGCCTTTTACTGAGCCTGAAGATGATGACTTCTTGGAGGATGATGAGGAGGATGATGAAGCGAAGCTTACAAAGTCTGGGTCTTCAATCTCCTCCTCCTCATCATCTCTATTCTTTGATGATTGAGTTCTAAAGAAGTTGCTTATCGGTACTGTTGTAGCATTGTCACTCTTGTGCTTTGTCTTCTTTGAACTTGAGAATGATTTATAGCTCATTATCATTTGGCTACCAAGTATCTAAAGTAACTGTAATACTTTGCTACTACTTTTTGTCGTCAATGACTATGAACAAGCAGCATCTGAGTCTTAGTGCTGCACAAGTAAGTATCTGTGAATATAGTTGTTGTTGTAATAGTTGTGTATATGTACATAAAGTCAATGAATGACAAATGAATGAATGAGTGAACATGTATTGCCTCAATGAAAAACGCGTTTTTGCAAATTCACAAAAAAGTTGAATAATTCTTCAAAATTGCAATTTTGAGACCAATCGTCTGATTGACTTTTCTTTTGGAATACAGTCAATCAAATGATTGACCAACCGAATGATGTTTAGTGGATACCTATTGTAGATATGTCCACTGATTCGCTTTTATTCCTGAGGATGGTCCACAGCTTGCTGTAGAACTCTTGTCGCACCTCGGGCACCTTGGACGAAGAGCCAAGATAGAACTCAAAGAGTGTGTCACCAAGTCGTACGTCTTGGATCTCGCGCAACAACTGCTTGTCCAGCAGCACGAGTAGTTTGCCATCCTTGTTGCGGACAAAGTCCAGCTCGGACTGTGTCGATATCTCTTGGTTGGGCGGCATCACTGTGCGCAGGTCCGTCAGCCACTCCTCAATCTCGACCAGCTCCAGCTTTTGATTCTTGCGCCACACCAGATTGGTCATACTCGTTTCGAGTCCACTATAAATGTGATTCCAGGTGACCTTCTTTGTTGGGCGTATCTTCAACGACATGCCCACGCACTTATCAATCAACATGTCCAGCACCTCCTTGCTTGACTTTGTAAACTCCTCCACTTGCATATTGTTGGCTCGCTCCTTCAACTCATTCTTGTTGGTCAACTCCATATCATCAATATAAATGGCCATTGAATATACATTGATCTCTGTCGTGTATCTTGTGTCAATCATTCAATCATTCATTCAATCAATCAGACATGATGTACATACTTAGGAATGACATAACTCTGTTGCCAATGGCTACAATGGCATGATCGATGTTCAGATCTTTGTTGACCATTCTCTTTGGATATTGATATCCAGTCTTGATTTGAATGATGTGATCTGGTGTCTCTTCAAAGCATTCCTTGCACATTGCCACTGCACCAGGTAGTAACATCAATGACAATGTAAATGCTGCCGCTGCATATGAACCATTAGATGATGATGATGATGATGACTTATCATTGTTGTCATTCTTGTTATTGTTGCTGCTATAACATCTTTGAGTTGTTGTCAACGATGTCGATGTTGACAAGAATTGTGAGAATGAGTATGAAGGAAGTGTCTTGTTACTCGTATTGAGTATGCTTCCTGCACGCAAAAGACCTTTGAACTTGTTGCTCATTGTTGTTGTTGTTATTATCTCTATGATGATGATAAAGATGTTTGTGGAATGTAATGACGAGATTGAATGATGTTAGACTAAACTGAGATGGGTGAAAGGGGGATACACAAGAGGTATTCAGGCCGAACCTTCTTTTGCTTTTTTCGAAAAGTGGTTGATTGTTGTTTCGATCACTTTTTTATTCATTCTCCCAGCTCTCGACGACTACCAGCCCATTTGATTAATCAATACTTAATCATATATATGTAATATACATATACAGATACATACATAGATATATACACACACATATATAATTATATAATTGTAATAACATATATTTATTTATAAATTACAATAATGTCACAAGATGATGACCAACAGATGTTAAAGATTCTGGTTGTTGGTGGACCAAGGACTGGAAAGGTAAAGGATAGTTCGGCCGAACAATCAATCAACTTGATCACTAACATATAAACATACTTTAAAGACAAGTATAATCAATAAGTACGCCAATAATAGATGCCCAAAGAATTATAAAGTTACAGTTGGTGTAGATTGCATTAGTAAAGAGACGGTGGTCAGTGGAAGAAAGGTGGAGTTGTACTTTTGGGATATATCTGGTCAAGAGAGATACGCTCATATGACTAGACACTACTTTGAGAATGCTCAGGCGGCATTCATCGTGTTTGACGTCAGCGATGAGGAGGTGACGCTGGAGGCGGCCGCCGCGTGGAAGGCGAACGTCGATCTGTGCTTCCCCGACGCACCCCTGCCCACCATACTGCTGGCCAACAAGAGCGACAAGATCCTCGACTTGAAGGACGTGCCCTACAAGCGCTACGATCAGTTCTGCGAGCAAAACACAATCAACAAATGGTTCCTGACGTCGGCCACCAACGGATCGAATCTCGACGTGTCAGTCGACGAGCTGGTCAAGCTCATCTTTGAGAGCGATCAGTCACTCGCACCAAAGCCACGCGAGGGCTTCAAGCTGACCGATCCCAGCGCTCAACCACCATCCTCTGCCACCAATGAGGTCAAGAAGACATGTTGCTAAATGGTGACATCACTCAAGCTTCCCAACCCAACCGACTATATACATATAAGTGGCGACCAACCATTTGATTCTTGGCATTCCATGGCATGCATGGTATGGCTGGCTCATTCAAGCCAGCCTCTCGCGATTCACCACCACCCCTCCAGCGGTTGCTCCTCCTGGTCATTAACTTGGCGCGGTCGATTCGTCCGTCCCCAGACGACTGTCCGCCAGGCAGTAGCCGCTGAGATGGATGTAGTACTACACCTCCCCTGATACGAACATGTAAATACATATCACTGTTAACCTCTCAATCAGGAGACTACATTATTTGATTGTGATGGATGGTTGGATGTATGGATGGATGGATGGAAGGAGAGGCAGTCTCCCTCGGGACAATCCTCACTCGCGGAACTCCCCTTCCAGATGTCCTGGAAGGCGATGTTTATGTATGTTATAAATAATGATTGGTCGGACTTTGGGATTTGATTGATTGATTGAATGATTGAGGTAAGCTATACAAACAAGGTGCACCTTGTGATCGGGTCGGGTCCGGGCGCGACTACTACCTGGGCCCATCTCTCTGTGGAACCAGGTGTCTGCGTCAACTACAATAAAGATAGAGTATGTACTTGTTGTGGCGCGCTCGCGCCTTAGACAGCACCGCCACTTGGGGTAACCTTGGTGGACATCCTGTTGAGCGTCACTCTGGTCTTGGCCTGCTTCACATAGATGTGTGCAGTAGTGCTCTTCCTGTAGATGATGATGGCGGCGGCAATGATCACGGCGCCACAGATAACTGGCACGACCACTACCACGGGCAGGAACCATGTCGCCCGTCCACTGTCGCCGGTTTGGCGAATAGGACACGTGATGTTTGATCCGTCCTCACTGGCCGACGCTGAGTATGAACGCACCAGCACACTAAAGTCTGGGTCAATGTCGACATAGTCGGTGAAGTACGGCACTACCATGCCGCTCAGTAATGCGCCTGGCTGGTTGTTGAGCATGCGGTTCGTCAGCACAAAGGGGCGGCCGTCCAGCATGCCTCTGTTGGGGAAGGCGCCATATAGACCGTAGCCCATCATGGGCATCTGGTAGCTGTTGCCGTAGAAGCGGGTCGTCCTGTTAAGGAACATCGAGCAGTCGCCGTCCAGACCGCTGGTGACGTTGAATGTGATGAGCAGGTAGTTGAGGCTGGACTTGAACTTGTACTCGCTGAGACGAATGGCATACTTGACCGTGTTGTTGTGCATCGACACGCTCTCATTCATGTACTTGACGATGTTGTACGAGCTGGATATGTTCATCGTCATCAGCACCTTGGCGCCATCGGTCATTGTGCCCGACATGGTGAAGTCTGTTGCACTGCCCTCGGTCGTCATGTTGCCAAACTCTTCGTCGCGCACGTATTGGCCAGTCGAGTCGACCTCGATCACTGAGAAGAACTTGATGCTGAACTTCAGCTCCTCCTCTGGGTGCTCGAGGATGGAGCCGTTCTTGAGGTTGCCGTATATCGAGTAGTTGCACCAGGGTCGCACGCTGTCAAACTCAATCTCGGAGCGCATAGTGTAGTTGGAGGGGGATGCGCACGACCAGCCGGTGAAGCCCTCGTCACACACGCACATTGCCAGTGCCGAGCATGTTCCGTGGCCCGAGCACATCGGGTTACCTGAGCACAATTGCTTGGAGCACGTGGTGCCGGTGTAGCCGGGGAAGCACTCGCACAGGCCATCGACGTTGCATGTGCCGTTGTTGCACTTGCCTGCCTGGCACGCGGTGAATGTTATCTTGATGGGGTAGACGTCGCTCGCGTAGTACAAGGACATGTTGACGTTCAGTGGTATATTCCTCTCGAGAGTGATCACAGTGCTGTTGGTCGTCACCATCAAGTTGAGCAAGTACTGATGGCCATCAGTTGAGTTGATCGTCAACAAATTACGATCCATTCCACTCAGATCACCAATCACAGTGATCACATTTGTATTCACTGGAACTGATGGGATTGATGTTATGTTTACTGGATTTCCATTTACTTGATCAGCTGTGATTGAGTGATTGATTGAGTGATGGGGGAGTGTGTGTGAGTTTGGCGAAGAGGACGAGGAGGATGGGAGTGGGTGACCTGGAATCATTCCAATCACATTCCAATCGATCTATCAATCTATCAAAGTATTACCTGCATAGTTGGCAGCTGATGATGTTTGGATACAACAACAACTGATGAGGAGGAGGATAGACGCTAGACTAGTCCAAAGGACATAACCGTTGGTAGGTTGTTTGGTCATTATGTATATATAAAGGTGTGTATGTGTATGTGTGTGTGTATGTGTGTCTAGATAGGGTAGGCAGATGGATGATGGATGATGGATGATGAACGAGAAGAGTGTCTTCTCTCTTGTGTAGGAGGTAGAGGAGGAAGAGGAGAAAGTATTGAATGAATGAATGAGGTCTGAATCGCTCACAACAGAGAAAACTAACAAACTCACTTAATCACTCATTCAATCAATCAATCAATCATTCCTGAAATAGAGATGGCCTTCAGCAGTTGACCACCCCCCTCTCACACATACACTACCACTATCACGTAAACCGTTGACCATTCGGCCACGTCCCATCCATCACTCGAGGTATTAGACAAGAGACCTACACTGTGCAAGGTAGTAGTTGATCAAATGGCCAATCGAAGGCCAGTCGTCCCAGAGCACCCACATCATAAATCCAACGAAAAACAGTCTAAATCCAAAGTTTGATCGCCAAACTAGGGTGTTTTGTGGTGGTAATGGACCCACACGCCAATCAATCACTAACCACTCACCACACTTCGCCCCGGCCCAATGATGGCCCGCAATCGGCTACTTATTAATTGAAGAGGAACTCCCATGAGAACCTTCGAAGTGTGATTGATTGGTGGAGGGTTCCAAGTGCTCAGTCTAATAGCACGAGTCAGTGTGGCGGCCCATCAACCAATGTGATCAAACAATCAAAGAGATATTACTTCATTTATAGGTTCACCTTGGTCCAATCTCCTTGACCTTGTCATCCATCACTTGTGTGATTGTGTCGTTGGCTGATGTGGTGGTACTGCAGTAGAACCAACTTGCCCATGCCCTGATGAAGATGATGATGATGTGTTGGTTCCAACAACATCTCCTATTGGCGCGATTGGTGTTGGTTGTGTTGGAGATGATGGCTTTGTTATCTTTGATCTGTCTTTCTTCTTGTTGGCTGTTGTCTTATTGGCACCCGCATTCCCACTTCCACCTTCTAGCTCGGGCTGATAGAGTGGTCTGCTGAATGAAAAGGTCTGAACACCGCATTTCTGGGTGATCCTTGCTGGAACATTCTTGTTCAGCTGCTTGCTGGACCTCGATCCGAACTGGATCGCCTTCTTGATTAAACAAGTCGATGCTGTAAGGCCCAATGTCTTTGCGAGCTAATGAAGATCAGGGTGGACGGTAACGAAGAGGTTAGTTCATCTGATGGTCAACACGTCACGAACTTGGGATGCACGAATATGTTATGAGGGCTGTAAGTGAAGTGCAGTGATTGATTGATGGATCGAGTGAGTGAGGGATCGAGTGATCGGTTGAGTGTGTGGGCGATTGGAATGATTCCATATTGGTTGGTTTGGACGATTGATTGAATGAGCGAGTGATTGTTTGATTGGTTTGGACGATTGATTGAGTGTTTGATTGATTGATGAGTGATGGGTCACAGTGAACATGTTGTTTGTTGATTGATTGGAATGGTTCCATGACCGAATGTGATTGAGTGATGACTTACCTCTCGCAATATCCTTTTGTCGCCAGTGCCTTGTGCTAGACTGAGATCGCAAACGTAGGATAGGGGCACACTGTTGAGGTACTCGATGACATTCTCATCGAGATAGGGGAATCTTGGCTCGCGTCTATTGCTGCTGATCACTCTGTCATCACGACCAAGGTTGCGCTTCCATATTCTGTTGAAGTCTTTGTTCAACTCGCCTTGCAACACCTGCCAGGAACCCCTGGCGAATGCACTGCGATGTCGTCCGTAGCCTGCCAGTTGCTCGTCTGCACCTGAACCCATCAGCAACACTTTGCATGTGGTCATTACGCGTCCATACTCTTGCTCGCGTCCATGCACCAGGCCCTCGCCACGCGCGGCAAACCACAGTGCCAAGGATATTGTCATGTCCATGATGGTGATGGCTGGGTAGGACAGCTGGTAGACGATGGGCTTGGCCCACTCCATCCACATGTCCGTCACATTGACCTTGATCAGCAGCCACTCACGTTGTGGCGCAATCGCCTGCAACTCGGCAAGGCCCGTGATGGCAGTCTTGCGGTCGGGCACCTTGTCAAACTCCTCGATCGATGAGCTGTCATTGCCAAAGGCCACGTTGATTAGATGTATTGGTTCTCCTGCGGGTATATGTTGATGTGTGATCGCTGCCAAAACAATGCTGTCCAGGCCCCCACTGAACATGATTCCGACGCGACTCGGCAGTGGCGTCGGCTGGTCGGCACAGAATGTCGGTCGTATCAGCTGAGGACATGATGTACTGAGTGGCGGCAGACTAATCACACGCGTCTCAATCGATTTGTTAAGTCTAACCAACAATGTATCCCTATATCCATCAAACACCTTCTGGTCCCATTGCGGTTGGTCCGCGGGCGGTGTCATCACCGTCCTTCTTCCAAATGGATAAAAGTGTAGTTGGTCCACAAGTAGTGCTGCAGCTACTGTTGTTGCTGGGTCAGGTATATTCGTGTTCGCGCCAGTAGTCGTGGTAGTAGTTGTTGTAGTCGTAGATGTCGTGGTCGTGGTCGTGGTTGTGGTTGTGGAAACGTCGTTGTCATTATCATCATTGTCAGCGGCGTCATAGTCGAGTGTGGTAATGCCGATGTTGACTTGGTTGTTGCCATCCCATGAGTGTGACTCGAGTCGTACGACAGTGTCATCGTCCAGGATGTCTGGGAAGTGAATAGAGTACAATCCAAATGTGTTGACTTCGCACCAATGAGGCAAGGTAGTTGGCTTGCTGTCATCGATACCAGCGGGGAATGAACCGATTGACGACAAGACAAATGTTTGTTTTGTCTTGTTGACCAATAGTGATCTACGACCAAGCACATCGCGGGCCAAACCATAGTCGACGCGCTGATTCATTCCAATAAACAAAGGCGAATGGTCCTTTGATCTTGAGCATTATGTTGACAAATGTGGATGGGTCGATGCCGCTGCCGCCACCGCCAATGTCGGCTTGATTGAACAGATGGAGAAGTAGACGTGTGTCATTGTCATGCACGCCAATGTCGTATCCATCAAACAGCTCACCATTCCACATTAGTATGTTGCCGCGATCGTCTTGACAGGGTTGGACAGTGAGCTCGCCACGCATTCCCAGCACTGAAGCCACCATTGTTATATGTATTGGTGGTCGTTGACCAGATTGACCAATAGTCTTTATAGTCTTTGATTGTTGGATAACAGAGTCTGGACCACGATTAGTGAGTCGAACAATCAAGTCATCCAACAATGACTGTGTGTCTGACAACAACAATGTATCATCTTCTTCTTTGTCTCCAACATGTTGTTGATTAGATGATGCAGAGTTCAAAGGATCCAACACATTGACACCATTGATAATGAATGATATTCCACACATTATAATAATACTAGTTATGTTATGTTGTGTTATGTGTTGCGATGTGCAGAGACGCATTGACAAAAGACGAACGAACCCCATGAGTCCACAGTTCAATTTGAAACTTTCAAGTTGAACATGAGTACACACAAGAGATAACCAAAGAAATAGATTGGAATAGAGTACAACTACATCTTTATATATTTATGGTGAAAGTAATAACATTGGACTCATGTCCATGGAGTTGGAATTGGAGTAGTTTGATAGGAATGGACATTAGTTCGTCTTTGTGAATGATATTGAAGTGTCAATCAATCAATCGATCAATCACATCAATCAGACTACTTTCCATTAGCAATGGTAAACTCAGTTGTTGACCTAATTAGGTTCAATCAAGTTCATTCAAGGACTTTGTCAAATAATAGAATATGAAGGATTAGTAATAGTAGGATGGGTTTGGTCGTGAAGCAACAATCATTGAAATCCTTGATTGTTATTCAGCGAAAATATTTTGTTTCATGAGTTTTTGCAAAAGGATGTGTTGTGTGTATTGATGTAGTTGTTGACAAAAATAGATGTATCTGTGAACATGTCAACTTGTTTATTGTATAAAGGACAACAAGTCGACATCCAATTAACATTCATACAATCAATAATATAAGTAATATATATCTAACTAAATAGATCAATATATATCATTGTTTTGTATAAGCTCCAATCAATCATTCAATCAACAGCCAAGTCAATCTAGTCAATCAAGTCAATCAAATCAATCAAGTTATTTAGTTAAAGTATGTTACTCAATCAAATTACCAAAACTCCACTTATACCAATGGACACATATATATAACATGTCTTGTTATGTCTGTTGGACATGTACCAATCCATCACCCGTCACTCGATATAGCGACCACACTCGGGTGATCTTGATTACCCACCCACCCACCCATCCAACCAATCCCCCACTACACGACACGAGACAAAGCACGACAATCAATCAAACACACATACATACACACAGATAATACATATTTATCTCTATTTAATTTAATCTGGTACCAAAGAAGGGAAAGAGATAGAGAATAAGTGTGTTGTTGATCGATGTGTGTGGCGTGAGTGCGACCAATACCCGTCCATCCGCCGTCAATTAATTGTTGTTGGACATTGACATAATAACCAAGCCGACTTTATCTCACATCGATGTCTGTCTGCCAGCCAGCCAGCCAGCCATGGTCAATTATATTTCCACCACCACGACTTTCAATCCAAGGTGTCATGTCGTATTGTGTGTTGTTGTGTTTATGAGAGTTGTGTGACACAATTGACATCGTCCACCTCTCACTTTGAACTCGAGCTCAATATCCTTTACGACAACAACAACAACAACAATCCAGCTAGCTACAAACTCGACTCGACAACATAGCATTCATTCTTTCTTCCTTTCCTTCTAAAGAACTTCATTCATTGCACACGTGTGTTCATCACATTGTAAGTGTTTGGACAATCAATCACCAATCATCAATCAATCAATCATATATATTATGTGTTGTTCCACAGATAATTCGTTATCTCTCCAAAGATGGATAGATGGATGGATGCGAAGATACACTCAACATCACATCACATCACTTACAGACATGGAGAGATACAACAGTAAACAGAGAGAGAGAGAGAGAGGTGATTGTTTGGATTGGTTGACCATTCCATTCAAGGGTGTCAATCAAACACTTGGACACTCAAACACAATGTGTGATCATCGAGCGCCCTCTTTGGACCAAACCACAACAACTAAACAACACCCCCCTGACCCTCTCTCACCAACCCACCTTGTGTTCGTATGTTTGTGCTTGGGCTAGATGGCCCACCATCTTTGTGCGCATCCATCGCACTGCACTCATTCACCCCCACACTCTTTAAACGATTTTGATAAATGATTATTTTTTTTATGTTCTTTTCTTTTTTTGTGTTGTTTGTAGGTAGGAGGGTTTGATCCTCTCCCTCACACCCACCTGTCTCTGTCTCTGTGCACTCTCTCTCACTCTCACTCTAACCTCAGTCACACACTACCGCCCACAAGAGCGCTAACTTCTAACTCATTATCTCTTCTTTCTTCACTACCCTATCTCTGTACTAAATAGTCATAATCAATCAAATCAAAGTAATAATAATATAATATAATGCAAGCAATTAAGTGTGTCGTTGTTGGTGATGGTGCCGTCGGAAAGACCTGTCTGCTCATCTCTTACACAACCAATGCCTTCCCAGGCGAGTACATCCCAGTAGGTATCCAATCAATCTCTTCTAGATTAACCTTTATTCTTCATCTTTCATCATCGATCAATCAATCAATCAGTCGAATAGTTTGTTGGGATTATGAAGAATGCGATATATAACAGCTCAGGTTTAATGATTGATTGATTGATAGAATGATTGAAGAATAAGGATTGAATGAATGATCGATAGATTACTAATAATATATTTAATTAATTAATAATTATAGACCGTTTTCGATAACTATAGCGCCAATGTGATGGTTGACGGAAAGCCAATCAACTTGGGTCTCTGGGATACTGCCGGTCAGGAGGATTACGATCGTCTCCGCCCACTCTCATACCCACAGACTGACGTGTTCTTGATCTGTTTCTCCATCATCTCACCATCCTCCTTTGAGAACGTCACTGCCAAGTGGCACCCAGAGATCTGCCACCACGCACCAAACGTCCCAATCATCCTGGTCGGCACCAAGCTCGATATGAGAGACGACAAGGAGACCCTCGACAGACTCAAGGAGAAGAAGCTCAACCCAATCTCCTACGAGCAGGGTATGGCCAAGATGAAGGAGATCAACGCCGTCAAGTACCTCGAGTGCTCGGCCCTGACCCAGAAGGGACTCAAGAACGTTTTCGACGAGGCCATCAGAGCCGTCATCAACCCACCAATCAAGAAGAAGACCTCCTCCAAGTCTGGATGTCTCATTTTGTAAACAGACTGTCTGTCGTCGTCCCCTCCCAGTTAGTGAACTACTCATCCTCCCCTGTTTATCACTTTATCTTGTAATCAATCCCCCTTCCCTCTCCCCTCTCGCTACACCTACCCTCTCTCTCTCTCTCTCTCTCAACCTCATTGTAATGGACAACTATACAACTATACAACAACAACAACAACAATAACAAACCAAACCAAACCAAACCCAACCAACATATATATATTGGCAGGTTAGCTTAGCCAGTTCATCTGTGTACAATAATAACCACAAGCGCGCATCAGTTTAAACGGCAAACAGGCAACAACCAACAACTAATACAACCTAACTTCTACAACAACAACAACAACTAATAACAATAACAACAACAATACAATATGTTGGTTATGTGGAGATGAATGAGTCCGTCTGTCCAATCCATCCTCAATCACTCACACACAACTCTTTTTGATTTAATAATAAATACCAGTATAACCAAGCTTATATAGGATACAATCAATGGTCTACTTTGATTGACTTGATTGATTGATAGACTTGTCAATGAATGAATGGATGAGGGAGAATTAGTGAGTCAAAGACAAGGTCGGTGTCCTTGTGTGGATTCTCATAAATTTAAGTGTGTTGAGTGTTGAGTGAGTGTGTTTCATTCATTCAAGGGTTATTGCCTCATTGCAATCTCACTCACTTATTCATTCAAGTTACAACAACATTACATATTACTTTACATTCATATATACACACAACTTAGTCATAGAAGAGATAGAGAAAGAGATGGATACTTTTGTAGAGGCAGTACGTGATATGACATTGTATGAACAAAAGCCTGTGTTCCAAGAGGCCATCAACAATTTGAATATACCATCACATTATGCTGAGAGAATAACAGAGGCAACATTCCTGTTGTTGAGGTCAAAGTAAGTAAGAATGAAAGAAACGGAAGGAGAGAAGACAGAGACTTCTCCACAATGGGATGACAAATCTGGACCATCTCATCTCACTCAATCAATCAATCAATGAAGGGATGCAATGGAAATGGAACTCATTGAATTTGGCCTTCAAACATTGAAGCAGATTGAGGCTCAGACCAAGGATGAATCAGAATACAATGTTGAGATATGTTACTGTCTTGGTGCTATCCTTTGTGAATATGTAGGTCCACCAGTCCAGCCCAATCCAATCCTCCAATCAGAATAACTAACATTACCCATGGATGGATATTTATGACTCCAGTCCAAACTTATTAATATAGATTATAGACGCAAGAAGGATGACCTACTACAACTTGGAGGAGACTTCTTTTCAAAGGCTCTTGGATATCGTCCACTACACATGCCTTCACTGGTGGGCATGAAGAACATGCATTTGGCCCAGGCAGACATTGCCGAGACAGAGACCCAGGTGGTCAACTTCACTGGCAGGGCCAAAGAGTACGAGAACTACATCGAAGCCGTCAACAGGGGCGAGAATGTCGGCAACTATCCAGCAGCAATTTATACAAAGATCAAGAAGGTGCTCAATCACAAGGACACTGGCGCCATCTTCTTCAAGGACAGGGCGTACGCCAAGGCAGTTAGCGAGTATTACAGCGCCAAGTTGAACTTGCATGGAGTGGAGTCTTCTCTCAATGGTGTTCACTATGAAGAGTTGAGGAGGTTAAAGTTCACAATCCAAAATAATATTGTAAGTTCAGTACATCTGTCCTGGTCAATGATCATCACATCATCCTAACATTCATTCATTACTAGGCTATCTGCTTGATGTTCCAGAACAAGATATCTCCAAATGCCACGAGGATATTGGATGAAGTGCTGACTGAGGATTCAAACAATGTCAAGTCATTGTACTTGCGTGGAAAGTGCAACCTGGCGATTGGTAGCTACAGATCAGCCGAGCAGGACCTCAAGAGAGCGTTGTCCTTGGCACCCAACGATCAGACCATCATGAAGGAGTTGGCCTATCTGGAACAAGTTAATGATCGTGCAGGCGAGGCCAAAGGATTCTCAAAGAATCAGCAGTAGAAGTAGTCTGCTTCGTCTAATCGTCGACCTTCCGTCGTATCCATCAGTCCTTCCTTTAAACATGTTTGTCTGTTTTGTTCGTCTACCTGATGATCATCAGGTGGAATAAATACCTGATTGATCTTTTACAATTGTATCTCCACTTTACAAGTTGTTTCCATTTCCTAATTAGGCGACCATCACACAAAACGATTTGATGGTTGCCAAATCTGGCGATTGTTCAGACCACATCATTTACATTCGTTCACACATTCGTATACACATGTAAGATGGATTCATTACCTGTTATAATACTTCAACATATAGTTGAGTGCTTGGATAAGCCATTGGATGTGTGTTGCTATGTGATGACATGCAAGAGGATATACATCATCCGAAATTCAATCGCTCAGACAACAATCACTTGCCACTGTGCCAAACAATATCGATGTTCAATCAACCTTAACAAACTTGCCAACTTCCATCAATGTCTTCCACAATGTATGTATCTCTCAAAGCCTTTAAGTCAATAGCTCATTCACCCAATAAATCAATTACACATACTTTAGTTGCAGACTTTGATCTTGACCTTGAATCGCACAGTGATAAGCCATTCAGGCCGTGGCCCAGCGATAACAACGATGGCCATGGGTTGAGTGTGATGATGGAGAAGCCTTTCAATCAATCGTTGAGGACTGTGACCTTCCCTGCAGAGGTTACTTCGATCAGGTTTAGCATTGAATCACGGTTTAATCAATTGATCGAGCCTGGTGATTTGCCAGAGGGCATAACATCACTCTCTTTGAATTTCTGCTACAACCAACCTATTAAGCCAGGCTCACTCCCACGATCAATCACATACATCTATTTCGGCAACAAGTTCGATTACCCTCTTGAGCATGGCTTACTCCCACCACATCTGCGCGAGCTTCGGCTGGGCCTCCAATATGAACAGCAGATCTATCCTGGCCAGCTACCAAGCTCGCTCACTACATTGTATTATAATGGTAACCTTCAACATCAGCTCATTCCTGGTGCACTTCCATCGTCGTTGATCTACCTGCGCTTGGACCAAATCAATGGCCACCCTCTGATCCCCGACACACTCCCCAGATCATTGGTGGAGCTTGTGTTTGGATCATCCTTCAACAGCCACATCATGCCTGGTGCGCTCCCTTCTGGACTCTGCTCACTCAAATTCGGGTATCTATTCAACAGACCTATCCAACAAGGAGTCCTGCCCGAGTCCTTGACCAGGCTAAAGTTTGGACATCAATTTAATCAACCGTTGGTACCGGGTACTTTGCCCAAGTCCCTTCAAACATTGGAGCTGGGCTCGATGTTTGATCGATCACTAGTCTTGCCACACTCACTCATTCACCTATCACTTGGATCAGAGTTCCAACAAACACTTACCAGTAAGATGATACCATCATCATTGACATCACTTAGGTATGCCAACAACATATCAGAGTTGATCACAATGGACACGTTCAAGCATTGTCGCATCCAGAACTTGAGGATGGACCTTGATACTCCAGAGGCACCTGGAATGTTGGATAAATCAATGTTTGGTGGACATGTCCAGACATTGACAATGAAGTGGCACCATGATCTTCAGGATGCCATTAGACAATATATGGACTGTAGTGGCGGCATAACAAACTGTTATTTGAAGAGTCTCAAATCTATGATTCGTCGACTGGATGATCAACAACATTACATCGTGATCAACAATCAATATGGATTATATATTCTCGATCATGATACACTACTCAATAATGCAAGGACCATATTCAAGCCAATAGATGATTGAAATGGTAATTGGATGATCGATTGATTGAGGGTTTGGTGGGAATGGTGGTTTGGGGCTGGAACCATTCCAACCCATAAATAACAAGTTCAATTCCTAATTTGGTTTCCATTCCTTTCATCTGATGGATCATTCAATCCGCTCAATCACTCACTCTTCAAACAACATGTTGACAACAACAAGATCGCTCTTGAACATTAGAACAACAACACTTATCCTTTCAAGAGGAGTTTCATCGTCATCGGCGTCAAGTATGAACAAAGGAGTGATCAAACTCAATATCAATGTACATCCCAATGCAAAGCAATCATCTGTTGTCAGTGTTGGAGATGATGGTTCAATCGACATTAGGATCTCACAACCTCCAATCGATGGAAGGGCTAATGATGAGGTCGTAGACTTCCTATCTGATGTAAGTGATGCCACGCCACGTCACTCATACATGATCAACCTTGACTGATCAATCAATCAATCCCAGGAGTTAGGCGTCAGACGAAGATTGATACAAGTGGAGAAGGGTCTAAAGAGTAGGAACAAGGTGGTGTCTATAGATGTCAGTGAGCACAAGGAGTTGATGACGATGGAGACGATCATTGAGAAGCTTCGATCAAAGATTGAGCTATAGATAGACACTTGATCAGGTTGTGTTGGCAAGTTATGACAGTGACTTTATGACAAGACTCTGCGTGGAGCTCGAGCAGATGAGTGTCTGCAGCGATGTGTTGATGTCGAACGAGTCGATTGATGATGCCGTCAGACCACTGGAGATCACTGGTTGCACCACCTTGTTGTACACATCAAACATGTTGGCCGATGTCATCTTGTTGTCGCGGTTGTAATCGTACAGGTACACCGAGCCATCCTCTGAGCAAGAGTACACCTGGCTAGACTTTGCTCTACTGAATGATACCTCCCAGACTATTGATCGTGCCGCGTTTGGTCAGCGTGTTAGTAGACAGAGCGATCGAGCAAATTGAGTTGAATAAACGCAACCAAGACATACCATTGGATGTATGATTCCTGTTCTGATCGATTGAGAATGAGTTCCTAAAGTCAAAGATTGATACATATCCATCTGCATTACCGGTGGCTATGATATGAGGTTGATCGTGATGCACGGCAATACAGTGCACTGTCGACATTTGTGATTGTACTCTGTTGATTGATCGATGTGATGTGATGCGAATGAGCAAGTGAGTGAGTACTTTGATTGATTGTGATCGTCGCCGAGTCAGTCATACTGTTTGATTGTCTTGATTGGAGCACTGTTTGAGCCTGATCTGATGTCCCAGAACTTAAGAACAGAGTTGACGCCTGATGTTATAAGTTCATTATTGCTCATGTATCGCACTGCATTGATTGACAGTCCATCGATCTTCTCTGTTTGATTGTTTGATTGATTGACGGGGATGTGTCAGTCATGATAATGGTCCACTTACTCGCTCACTCACTCAATCATCAGACGCACAACGACGCTTACTGTTTGTGTAGATTGGTTGGTCGTATTCATGGCTAAATATGTTCATGGATCCATCGCTACCAACTGTTGCAATGTGTTCGTTGTCAAAGCTGTTGTCAATCGAGTTGATACCGCCACGATGTGCATGCTCCCAACGCTTCTGTTTGGTCAATCTTGTGTTGGCGGCGGCTGAATCAGAGTCCTCACCATTCTGTTGCTGTTTGTTATGCTTGTGATGTGCTGCAGCAGGTTGTATACACTTTGCCGGTAGATCTGATACTGATAACAGTGTAAGAGAGCCATCAGAGTCACCATATACAATAGTTGGTACACCTCTAATATCAACGAATCTCATATCGGTAACATTATGATCCAGTCCACCTACTGGAAAGGCACACAATTGTTCAGGTTCCTCTGATTGTGATCTAGTATCTATTGACCATAATGCTATATTATTGCACTATACATATCAACATATCTTGTAAGTACCTTCATTCAATCAATCAATCATTATAACATTGAAGGACAACCTACCTTTTGATTTGAACCTGTTGCAAACAAAGCATAATCATTGTGAAATGGACGATTATAACATCTTAAACGTCCTGCACGTTGAGTTATATAATGTACTCTTGTTGCACTATCTGTCATTCTTATGTAAATATATATATGATTGAATGAAGTATGAATGATTGAATGAATGAGTTAAGAAAGGCGCCATTATGATGTTCAAACAAGTCAAAGTTCATCTTTTTTCATTTTTTTTCAATGATTTGATTTGGACCTTGATTGATTGAATGATTGAATGAATCAGAGGAGTGTGTGGGGAGTTGTAGAGGTCCCACATCATGACTCCACAAGTCAGAACTTTGAACACCACTTTCTACTTATCTGTATCTCTAATCTTTTTATATCTTTGTTATCCATATATATATCCAATTTGGGTTTATTTGTTGGTGCTCTCGCAAACTCGCTAGCATATTCAAAGTATGTTAACTCAATCAATCAATCAAAAAGATCAATCACTTACTAATCCGTCAATCAATCAACCAAACATAGATCATACCTATTATCTATCTATCTCTTTTAATATATACATATATATATACATAGTAATAATAATAATAATAATATGTCTGATCAACAACAGAATGATAAATCCAAGCATATTGGAGCCATCTTCTTGATGAGGTACTATACAGTGCTCTCTACCAATCCAGAGAATCTCAAGCACTTCTATCATGACAAGTCATCATTCACAAGAAGAACACAAGTAGATAGTGTATCATCAGTAGTTGGTATTGAGGTATGTAGTAGTGACCTGGGATCATTCCACTCAATCACTCAATCACTCACTCATTCAATCAAATATAGAGTATCCATAATCAGGTGATGGAGCTTGGATTACTTGGAAGCAAGGTGTCAATCAAGACTATTGATACTCAAGAGTCACTTAATGGTGGTCTGTTTGTATCTTGCACTGGTGTGATGATCAAGTCCATGGAGCATCACAAGTTCTTCCATTCATTCTTCCTTGAGAAGTCAGAGTCCAGCTACTTTGTCTTGAATGACATCATGGTCTTTGATGGAAAGGAGGAGCAACAAGATGATATTCCAGATGAAGGTATGTGTATGAGTGTGATTGATTGATCGAGGCCTCAACTAATCAATCAATCACAAACAACAAAAAGCAGCCTCAGCAGCAAATGATGAACAACAGACACAAAGAGTTGATCAAGTATCTATTGAGGCCTCTGCAACTAATGAGTTCAATCAAGTGATTTCAGTGACTTCAGATGACTTTGTTCAATCAAATGATAGATTGGTGGCTGTGGAGGACAATGAGGCTTCATCTGGAAGTGCTTCACCATCAAAGACCTCGGGACTCGATGCAGAGCCACAACATCAAGAGGCCTTGCCATCTGTTGCTGCAGAGACTGCCGTGACGCCAAGTGAAGTAGCTCATCCGACTTCATCTCAGGCATCGTCACCATCACCTCCACCACCAACACCCGTCCAAACATCGACACCCGCTCAAGCCCCAGCCCCCGCCCAAGCCCAAGCCTCAGCCCCAGCCCAACCCAAGTCATTCTCCTATGCTGACATTGTGTTGAACGCTGCCAAGTCTGATGTTGCACCAGTACCTCACGTTCAAACAGTCCAACCAATAGTCGTGGCACCAGTAACAACATCAACATCGACATCAACTCATACAGCAGCAGGAGCAGCAACAGCAACAGCAACAGCACATGGAAAGGAGAATCACAAGGAGGGAAGCACATTGTTTGTTAGCTTCGTGCAACAGGGCAAGCATCTGATCGAGGAGGAGTCATTACGTGCGACATTCACGCCATTCGGATCGATTGCCAACATCCGTTGTTTGACCGACTATGCCTTTGTCGAGTTTGACAAGTCGGAGCATGTCCACAAAGTGTTGGAGCACATCACCACCTCTGGTCCACTGTTCATTGGAGAGCATCAGCTAAAGGTTGAGGAGAAGAAGAAGAATGCCAAGAGTAACAACAACAACAATGTAAAGGCATCATCAAACAACAACAACAACAACAACAATAACAACAATAGCAAGAAGGGTGGAAAGGATAGAAAGGCACAGGATAACAACAACAACAACAATAACAACAAGCAAGATAGAGATAGACATGATAGACATGACAACAAACACGACAGACATGACAGACATGATAGACACGATAGACAATCAATGTCGACAAGTGGGGAGAGACAACACCAACATCATTCAGACAACAAGGGTGCCAACAACAAGCCAAAGATACATCAAAAGTCGAACAGTAACAACAACTCTGCTGTTCCAGTGGTAGCAAGTGGAGCACAACCACCAGCAGCAGGAGGAGTAGTAGTACCAAGCAAGCCAGAAGGTGGCGGTGGCGGTAGACCAAGGAAGCAGCCAGCAACAGCAGCACCATCAACAGCAGCACCATCAACAGCAGCTGCAGCAACCAAACAACAATAAATATTATATATATATAGGTGTAGAGTAACTGTGGACAGACTAGTCTCAGTTGTAATAGTATATCCACAAACAACAACCAACGATGGGTCGTCTCCATTCATTCAATCATTCAATCAATCATCCAATCTCGATCAGTGATTTGAATCAACATCCATTGGAGCATTGCCATTGTTAGCATTGACACTGCCATTGACACTGCCATTGCCATTGCCATTCTGATGATGCTGATCCAATGATGTTGATGCATCAGAGTCGTCTGAGCTTGCCTTGATGTTGTTCTCACAGCCTGGACAGTTGTGTAGCGACTCGTGTATGAATTGATCACAATCGAAACAGTACAATTGCTTGCAACGTGGACATTTGTAAAAGAGTGATGTCGATGTCCTGGGAATGGTGAGACAGCTAAAGCACGATATCTCATTGACCATATCGCGCCAGTTGATCTCGACAAAGAATGGCACCTGGAAGAGGTGATGGTATGAACGCGCCAGATGCGGCGACGACACCAGCGACAGACTGCATATCTGGCAGTCGGTGGGAAGCTCGCAGAACTTACTGGAGCATCGCGGACACGTGTAGCTGATGTACTTGAACTGCTCGTGACACACGCACAGCTGCGGCGTGGTGGACGTGTGTTGCTGTGGGAAGCCCATCTCGACCAGCGCCGCCTCGGTCTTGCCAAACGTTGGCGGAGGCTGGCAATGCAGCATCAGACACTCGTTGAAGTGCTCCTCGTTCAGCGCCACCTTCATCGTGCCATGTGTCGATTCGGATATATGTCTACAAATGAAGAGTTCGGCGGCCATGTGAATGAATGACACCCTTATCGACTCCTTCCTCAGTATCTCTATCGTCTTTGACAAGTCTCCTGGATCACAAGACGTCAGACTTGAGTATATAACAATGATCTCTCTACTTCCATACTTTGGTACATGTCTAAAGATGGGAGTTTGATTGAATGATTGAGTGAGTCATTGATTGAGTGCACACAATGATGATGATGATGATGATGATGGCCAAACATACGACAATGTTGATATTGCAACATCCATTGAGTTTTGAATGGATGGATCGCCTTCCATGGCGGCCGAGTTCTTGAGTGCTAGGATGTGCCGTGATGGGTTGCCATTCATCTCGCTGACCTTCTCAGCCTTTGAGTTCTTGGTGATGATGAGTGACACTTGTGAGATTGGATTCTGATCAAAGAACTCCTTGATGAAAGATTCGGTGGCATTGAGCAGACATTGATGACGCGATGGTTTCATGTCTTGTGATGCCAATGTCTTTGAGAGATCGACCACCAAGCAGACATGACGTTGCATTCCACGACGAACACGCTGTGCATCTATTCTCTGACGTCTTGTCCTCATCGTACGCTCCTTCTGAACTGATGGCCTTAGACCAGCCTCATCCTCCTCCAGATCATCCCATGTCTTTTTGAAGTTACCCTCCCAAATGTACATATCATTCTGTTTATGTACATGTTCAGATGAGTCTCCCTCATCATCAATCAAGAAATCATCATTCTTCTTTCTTCTACTTCCCATCTTTCTCTATCTTTCTTATTATCTGTTATTATTTGTTGATCTTCAATGTAAATGATGAAAAGTGTGAAACCCTTCACATTATCAATTGATTCTTCTAAACAAAGGGAGGGTCTTCATTTCTTAACTTTCGTCTGTTTTTCAAACATTGTTGTATACGAACGAATCAAACAAACAGATAAAAGATAATAGATAGATATAGATAGAATGGATGATGATGGATTTATGTTGGTTGTAAAGGGCAAGAAGAATAAGTTGTTTAAGGGTGATGTAAATACATTGTCAGCAGATAAACAAAAGAAGTTGTTGCCCAACAACAAAGATACAAGTAATAACAAACAGTTGAGAGACAAGTATCTAAACAATCAACAACATCAACTTAATAATCAGACAGCTTTTAGACAAGGCTGGGGACAGGATTGGGACAACCAACCAAAAGGACCATCACAATCACAAGGTCCAAAAGGACAAGTTCGAACAAAGAAACCAAATGCATTATATGTAACAAAGACAAATGAAGAGGTATATAAGCATCTTCATGATAATGTAGTTAAGTTGATGTATGTACATTTTTGGATTAGAGTTGGCGTGGAGACTAGTACATCGAACTGACATTGCATGACATGACCATGAAGTGAACAAATGTCAACATTACAATTCTTTAAGGACATTGTAGAGGATGAGGCTATGAAGCCTTTGTTATCCAATGTCGCAGAGATAGTATGTTATGGTATTGGTAGTCTTGCATCATCCAAGAAGTGTCAAGAACAACTATCTCTAATCGTAGCACTGAGGCATCACTTCAAGGTATGTTTGGTCAACATCAAATTTGATTGATTGAATGATTGATCTAACATTGCGGCGATCATTTAGATTGATTCACCAATGTATATATTCGATCCAGTGATGTCAGAGAATGATGTTAAGCTGGTGGCACAACTTGGATTCACAATGATCACAAACAATGAAGAGGCAAAGAGAAAGGTGGCGATGAAGGATGGACCAGCATCAGAAGCAGGAAGAGGCATTACAATATTTTACATGCCCTTCTGTTCAAGGAAGTTATACGATAACTTGTTATGGGCCAATTGGTCATTGGATGCACTTCAACGATGTTTCATCATGGGCAACAGCTTCAATCGATATAATGAGTTCCATCTGCCGCCACAAGAGTCGTATCGACCCTACAGCTACACGTCCAAGGCGTATGGACACTATCAAGAGCAGATGTTCCCCACCAACTACCCGACCAACCTGTACACATTCCATGAACTATCATTCCACTGGTTCACACCATCCCATCTCCAATCACTGGACTCAAACTATTGGCTGTCATGTCCTGAGCCCCCATCAATCACTGATGATCCAGAGGTGGTCTCTGCCTCCTCTCAGACCCAATGACTTTACTTCTCGTCAACTAAATCCAATGGATCATTAATTATTAATTGTAAATCAAACTTCATCTATTAACTGATAGATAAATAATATTTATTTTTAATTATTAATAATATTATAATATTTTTTTTTATTTTTTTTTTATTTTACAAGAAGTGACTCCTTCACAGGACTTGATTTGCTAGCAAACTTGGCACCTCATCCCATAGCAACTCTATTTGCGGCCGTCACTACGTTCCTCCTCAACAAGTTCAACAAGTGAACAAGTACCGATCGCTCATGAATTTGCCAGCATCAATATCACCAGTGAAGGTAGCAGCGACAGTACAGAGGGACCTGATCCCAAAGCACCAAACCAGTTCAACTATCAACTAATACAGGACATGAGGGACACACCAATCGACAAGCGAGGTCTTGTGATGAAACAGATTATCGATGAGACAGACCAGGCAAGGTTGTTACAATCATTGCCATCATTAAAGTTCGTCTCAGTCAGCGGCAGCACAACCAACAGTATTGGCGTTTCTCAAGGAGTACTTTGATGACGGCCTAGGAACAGCACAACTACGTACACCTCTAAAGGAAGGGAAGAACAAGGACACTTTGTTTGATAGCATATACCACGAGGCACACCAGCTACACAAGCAGATGAAGACGGTGGCGGAGCACAGCGACCGTCTTTCGACGCTGACAAAGGACTGTATGATTATGAGATTGAGAATCTGATGGAGTCATATCATAAGGATGGATTCGAGGGCGTCATTGCCAGTGACGAGTTGGACAAGTTGAAGGCCAAGCATCTACACTACATATCTATATTACAGTGATAACTTTGACAATCAATAAAACATTCATTCATTTATCTTTAAAAGTCTCTTCCACTTAACAAGATATATCAGTTTGGACCCATGAAGATGTTAAGTCTTGATAAGCTTAATATGACTTAAATCGAAACATAACTTCAAACTACCCATCATCAATTATTCAGTGCACTCATAAATCTTGATCATAGATCTTGATCATATATCTTGATCATAGATCTTGGACATTCAAAACGATCAATCAATCAATCAATCAATCAATCAATCAATCAATCAATTGGATCACACAACAAGGATGTCTCTTACATCACTACCTCATCACTTGTTGTTCAATATCATATTGAATTGTTGTGATCAGTATAGATGTTTGGATGTGCCTTTGGCATTTGGTCAGCAGACACTCAATCGAATGTCATCATTGTCCAAGTTTATCAATCACAACGTACTACTACGCTATGGTCTGCTCAACACGACGTTTGCAATCAACATCCTACCACTGGTAACTCAACATCTCAATGTATACATCTCGTCCACCAACGAGTTGCAGCTTCTATTCAATGTGGCACGACGTGGCATCACCTCTACGCTGCTCACCGTCGCGCGACTACACTGCAAACCGATCCAATACCAATCGGTCACGGTCGACTTCTCGGTGGATCCCAAGGACGCGCCAGAGATCGTCGCGCACCCGCTGAACATACGCACGCTCAAGCTGACCAAGACGCAACAGCCCTACTTGGACATGCTGCTGAGCGCGTCGTGCGACTCATTGGTCGAGCTGGTCGAGTCCTCAACGCTGGCCAATCAGCGCCTGCCATGCGACTTACCCAATCTCCAGACGCTCAATCTCAAGAACCAGCCTCCTCCAGCAATTGCTATACTCCTCCACTCCAGCCCCATGCTCCTCACCACCATCCGCGTGCTGGACATCAGCTTCTTCCATGGCGACGATCTGGTGGTGAACCTGCTCACAAACAAGTTCCTCCAGCTCCAATCGCTGTCGGCCAGCGTGGCATTTGGCGCGATCGTCGACTACATTGTCGCACACAACACTTTGGAACATCTGCGATATAGTGGCCTGCCGAGCACCATCCCCACGAATGAGTTTGAGCGATTGATGCGATTAGATCGCTCGCGAATGAAGTCGCTGCACACATACCTGCCGACGGCGGCCACGATCACATTCACACCGACCCTGCTCGCACAACTAGAGTTGGTGCGCTTCCTCAATGCGCCCAAGCCCATGTTTGACGCGATGGTCTCGAGCTCGGTAGCATTCACTCGCATACGCACCATCTCTTTGAACTTTATCGCGGCTGACGAGCTGACGTCCGTGGCCAAGTTCCTTAAGCTCTGTCCAAACATCCACAAGCTGTCATTGTTCACCAACTCGTCACTGGCGGATCTTGGACAGGTCGCGCGGGCATTGACGCCACATCACACGCTGGAACACCTGGAGATCAATGACTTTGTGGAGCAAGAGGCGTTGTTGGATGATATTGTGTTGATGGCACGAGCATGTCCACGACTGACCTATCTCGGATGTGGTATCGAGCTACATCGCAATACAATGGACTCATTGATCGAAGCCATTATCCAACATCCCAACACGATCAATGGCATGGTACTATCACGAGCATCCCCCTCCAACCTACTTCGCATCATCAATCATCCCAATATCAACATCATCAATGTTCGAATGACCGATGACATTGATGAGAATGAGTTCAAACTAGTGTTGGATGCACTGTCTATCACAGAGTCAAACACAATGTACATTAGCAAGCTGTGGTTGATGTTCAAGATTGATTCCGATGCGATGTTGGAGTACTTGATTGATAAGTTTAGCAATAGATCAATGACAAGAGTACATCAAATGGATTTGAATATTGATATTGGTATCAATGTTAGTGGACCTGTTATAATAGAGTTGTTTAGGACAGTATTGACAACAACAGGATTATATCAATTGACGAATATTAGATTGAATTTACCAAATGATCAACTACATCCAATATGTTATGGTGATCCTATACTCATGCCACTTGCCAGTGACACCATTACAATAAGTTCAACAAATGTCAATAGTGTCAGTATACATACAAGTTCAAATGGATATAAAGTGTATCTGTACAAATAAACATCCAAGTTGTAGAATACCTTGGTTTGAGTGCAAAGGGGGGAATTTGAAGGTTCTGTTGCGGAATCCACCAAAAAGTTGAATCTCGAGGCAACACTGTTTTGTCAAACTAACAACATTCATTCATTCATTCAATGATTGATTGACAGAGAGTGTAATAATAATAGAGATAGAGACAAGAGATAATGAAGTGTCTTATAATACTTGATCCAGAGAATAGTGAATGCTTATATGTCGAACATAAGAATGATAGTATAATAGCACCACAATTCCAGACCATCATCAACTTTATCAAACAGACCATCGGACAACGACCTCAATTCATCAATGCCGGCAAGATAAAGATTGTCTTCCAATATGTATGTATCCGGTGTTCACAATCATACCCCAAACACATACTCATACTCATATTCAATACATTAGAATGATAATATACATATATCTTTAAAGAGTTCACCAAAGGTAGAGTTACTTTGGTTTGTGTTGGTGTCGGATGATGATGATTCCGAGAGTTTATTGAGAGCAAGGCTGAATCTACTCAATAATCTTTATTCGATGGTACTTGGCAATACATTGATAGACAGGAGGAATAAGAAACAGGTGGATATGCGAGCGCTCAGGAGAAAGATGTCACAGATATCCGCGACGGTCAATGCAATATTCGATGAGTCGCAGTCGGTGCTGTGTCAGGCCTACGAGACATTGGACCTCAATGAAAAGATCAGACAGCGTTGTATCAAGGACATCACCGACCTGATGGAACTATTCCCCAAGGCCGTCTATGCCATCGTCTACGTTGGTCAGAAGCTCGTCACCTTCCACTGCAAGAAGAAGCCACATCTCCAAAACATGGATCTATTCCTACTATCACTCTATGCTCAGATCCAACTCAAACCAAGAGGTATTTATATTGTTTGATTGAATATGGAATCATCCCGATCACTTTCTCACTCACTCAATCAAATGATCAAACGAAACAGAGAGATTCGTGTTTAAGATGGAGGAGAGAGAGGTGAGCACACCATTATCGATCGCCAATGAGATATCTCAGTTTGAGAATGTGTCACCGAGGAATGATCATGGTAGTGTAGATAGCATCAGTTCCCCGATACAGATTGGCGAAGATGGATTGAGTGGCGAGGACGACTTTGAGACTGCTCCAGAGGACTTTGACGAGAATACCATATCCCTGGCCAAGTCCATCATCTCATTGTTGGATGACATTGGAGGTTCATCAATGAACAAGTCAATGGTATGTGATGCCGCCGCCAGCATCCTTCACTCAATCAATCAATCACTCACTCAATCTCTCAACTCAATCACTCCAAATAGAAACAAAAGATATCATCAGAGTTCTTGAAGGATGGAGTCAAGCAGAGTAGCTCAAGTGATGTTGTTACATTGCTCAATCATTTCTTGTTGGCCGTTGGATTCTTGGACGAGAGCGCGCCAAAGGACTTGTACACTACAATGACAGAGGACGCCGTCAAGAGATTCCAGCGCGACAATGAGCTGTCAGAGACTGGCGAGGCCGATCCCCAGACCACCAAGCAACTCGTCATCAAGACACCGGTAGGATATTCAGTACAAATGCATCATACCTTTGTAAGCAAGACAAAGTTAGGATAGCCCTAAATCATCACCTTTGCATTTCTAACCTGTCCCCTCCTTTTGTAGTATCTACATCGTAAGAAGTCCCAGCCACCTCCACCATCAATCGATCTCAGTCAATCATTCAAGGACATTAGTTTGGGTGGTGGAAAGAGACCAGAGGACAGCCACAGCAGCAGCAGCACGAGCAGCAGTAGCACAGCCAACAATGCAAAGAACAATATCAACAACAACAACAACAATGTTGAGGTCGACGACTACAAGCTATCTAAGTCAACCTTTGAGAAGATATACATCAGGAACACAACTGGCACTCCCTTGTTTGCCTACTGTGCCGAGGTCCAGAAGAACAGTTTCCTGATCCTGCTCAACAAAGAGATGGTAAGATCACTCCCAACCAATCAACGATATCCAATCACTAATCCATCTTGGTACACACTTATAGCACAAGGAGGACGAGGAGAAGGAATTGGCATTCTTGGAGAAGTCCAAACAGATACTTTATGACAAGTTGTTCAAACAGTTGGGAGGCTTCTTGTTGACAAAGGAACTGAGCAACTTGGTGATATCTCGATTCAATCATATTCCAGGCTTGGTGCACTTTATCTTGATCGACCGATCATACCACCGCATCAAGGCTCCCAACATCACACCACTCAATGGCAACAAGTACCAGACGGCCAACGTCAACATGAAGGAGCTGATCCGCAAGAAGGTGTGGTCAATGTACAGTTACTGCTACCATCAGTTGGTCAAGAAGAACTTCACCTACCAGATTCTCAAGGACAAGGACTTCCAGTACAGCTACAAGCTGTGGATGGATGACGACGAGAGCCAAGAGGTGGAGCGCGAGGCCACCTCGCCCACCTCCGAGAAGATCTACCTGGACAGCATCAAGAAGTACTATCCACAGCCGGTCAAGTGCATGGAGTTGCTGACACTGTATGTCGGCATGATCCCAATGTCCCTCATCTACAAGAATGATCGTGTGTTGTGGGCGCTACTATTTGACAAGGAGTCGGCAGAGTAATGTTGCATACCTTGCAACAAACCATTCCAATCATTACACAAGAATTGTATTCAAATTTAGTTGTCTGTTTCCTTCGTCGTTGACTGTTGCTGCTCCGACTGCCGTTGTGATTGATTGGTTGTGCTGTCCTGTCCTTTTGGTTGCAACATATGAGCCTTGTCTGGGAATGCAATCTCAAAGACATCGCGATACTCTGATGCATACTTGATGTCGATGCCCTGTTTGATGTAGTCTGGCAACTCTTCAAAGTCGATCTTGTTGTTGAGTGGTATGATGATACCTTTGAGGCCTGATCGCTTGGCTGCGATGGTCTTCTCCTTTACACCACCAATAGTGTACACCTTGCCAGTGATTGTGATCTCACCAGTCATGCCCAGATTGTTCACAACCGGTGTGTTCATTGCCAATGACAACAAAGAAGTGACCATCGTGACACCAGCCGATGGACCATCCTTTGGTATGCCTCCTTGAGGTGCATGCATATGTAATGAGTTCTAAACATGCAACAGTGTTAGTCACATGATTGATAGATTGAATGAATGAATGGACAAACATACCTTCTCAAAGAACTCGTTGGTTGGGTCGATTTGGTAGAGGAAGTTCTTGGCATATGTGTAGGCAATGTTGGTGCTCTCGGTCATGACATCACCGAGCTTGCCTGTGGTCCTCAGACGAGGTGCACCACCGCTGTTCTTCTCTGCTATAGTTTCAATGTACAATGTCGATCCTCCTCTGGCCGACCACGCCAGGCCATTGACCACACCGATTGGCGTGACCTCGTAGTACCTATCCGAGGCGTATGTTGGTATGCCTAGGTAGTCCACGAGGTTCTTCTCATCAATGACAATGTTTGGCGAGCCGTTGACCAGCTCCAGTGCAGACTTTCTCGCAATCTTCTCGACCAGACGCTCCAGCTCTCTGATACCAACCTCTCGACTGTAGAACTTGACCAACTGTTTGATCACGTCCTCGGTGATTGTCAACTGCTCCTTCCTGATGCCACAGTCCTCCAATGTCTTGGGAATAACGTAGTTCTTGACAATTTGTATCTGCTCTTCCTCTACGTAGCCAGAGAGATAGATCACCTCCATACGATCAAACAGTGGACCAGGAATAGTCTGATCTGTGTTGGCTGTGCAAATGAACAACACTCTAGACAAATCATAAGGTACATCCAAGTAGTGATCCATGAATGAATGATTCTGCTCAGGATCCAACACCTCCAACAATGCTGATGATGGATCACCATTTCTCTTTCCAATCTTGTCAATCTCTGATTGATACCAGTTGTTAGTTTAATTGAATGATCGTTTGATTGAGCCAACAATATAACATACCATCGATGACAATGACTGGGTTTGATGTTTGAACGGTCTTCATGCATTGGATTAGTTTGCCAGGCATTGATCCGATGTAGGTCCTACGATGTCCTTTGATCTCACTCTCATCGAATAGACCACCGACAGAGAATCTGTAGAATTGTCGTTTCAGACATCTTGCAATGGACTTGCCAATGGAGGTCTTTCCAGTGCCTGGTGGACCGACAAAACATATGATCTTGCCCTGTACCGTGCCCTTTAGATGTCCAACCGAGATGAACTCCAATATACGTTGCTTGATATCTGTCAAACCATAATGATCCTGATCCAAAGTCTCCCTTGAGTACTTCAAATCAAAGAACTCTGGTGAGTACACTCCCCAAGGGAGATTAGTCAACCAGTCCAAGTAATTCCTCGATGAGTTATACTCCATTGATGATGGATCGATAGTTGATAGCTTGCTCTAGAGTAATGTGATTGATTGATTGATTGAGTAAGTGAGATATGATCATGGGGACATGGACATTTAACTTACTATCTCATCCTCGATGATCTTCTTTGTCGTGTCGTTTAAAGTGAGCTTGGCTAGCCTCTTTGTGTACTTCTGGACGACCAACTCCTTCTCATCAAACTCGACTCCAAGTTGTTTCTTGATCGACTTCAATTGCTCATTCAAGAACAACTTCTTCTGAGACACAACCTTGGCACTCTCAATATCTCTATAAGTATGATTGACCAGTCAGTCAGTGGAACTATCCCATCAATCGATGACATGCAATGATACATACGAATAGATACCTTGTTGTATCTGTAATAGGTTCTCTTCACTCTTGAGCATGTTGTGGACTAGGTCTAGACGTTGGAGAATGGATGGAGTCTCGAGTATCTCTTGACATCTCTTGGGATAGTTGAGTCCAAAGTAGTTGACGATCGATGAGATGAACACTTCGGCATCCTTGACCGGTGCAATATGTTTGTCATAATCAATTGAAAGATTACTCTTGTAGCTCTCTGGATATAATGAGTTGAACTTCTTCACTGTTGTGCCAATCTGTTGCATCTTGGCCTCGATCTGAGCGGTGAGCGCATCACCCTCGACCACGGTGCCGGCGTTTGAACCTGCTACTGCACCTGCTGCACCTGACCCTGAGGTGGTGGCGGCGGCTGTCGTTGGACTGGGATGGAACTCCTCGATCTTGAAGAAGTACCTGACCCGGCGTGCGGCGCCCTCGGCCAGCAGCGACTCGGCCGTGTCGACGATGCGAATGCGCTGCTTCACTTCAAAGTAGTGATAGCCAAACACCGTGGAGGAGATCTGCGCCAGCACTCCAATGGGATGTACCTTGTCCAGTGTGTTGTGATCGAGTGGCATATCGGCCGGGATATCAGAGCGATGCTCCTCCTTCACCAAGAACAATCCGACAAAGATCTTTCCCGATGCATTTGGTATCAGCATATTGGTATAATGGCTTGACAAATGAATCGGACCCTTTGATCCAATAAAGTGAATCGATTGCGATGGATACACCAACACTTCATTGTTGATTGGCATGTCCTTGTCTGTGTTCGCGCAAGAGAGCGAGCGAGGGAAGGGAGTATGTTAGACATGATGTGGCGTGACTTGAGTGTGTCCGCGTGCACGTTACCTTTCTTGATCTGCTTGTCTATCCTTGTCAAGGCTTCTACGGCTTCATTATTTATGGTTGTGATGTCATCGATCTTCATTGCCTGTGTTGCAGGCTTATCATTGTTGTTGTTGTTGTTGGCGCCACCGCCACCTCCAGTTGGTGCACCACCGCCTCCCTTCTTTGTACTCAAGTATCTTGGCTGTCCAGTTATTGTCGATGCAACATTAACATTGAAGTTGTTATTAACATTGTTGTTATTGAATGTGAATAATGATTGAGTGGCAGCTGACAAACAAGCATTATGATTGTTTGATGATAACAGTAATGAACATGTCCTCCTGCTGTTGATCAACAACAATCTGTTCATTCTCTACTCTCTCTCTCTCTCTGTATCCAGTCTATCTATCTGTCTATCTGTTATGTGATTGAATGAAAGATTGAACATCACCATTTGGTCTAACACGTGGCAACTTCTCGAAAATGAGTAAAAGTGAGGTGATTCACCACCTTTACTTCATTTCATTTATTACATTACTATTACATTACACTTTACAAATAAACATATAAACACATGGAGCAGGAACCTGCATATGTATGTTCTTCAAAGCATGGTATTGTAATACATGAAGGCTAGGCTACTGACCCATTGTACCCTTACCCTTACCCTTACCCTCACCCTCACTATCAACCAGGTTCACGGCAATCCATTTGCCAATCTACCTAGACTTAGCAAGACGATTGCAGGTGTACTAGGATTCTTTCTATTCATAGGTGTTGCATTCCCAGGTACTGTTGAGTACTTCTCAATCAATGCGTCATAGTAAGTCGTTGAATGAATGAACCATGGTCCAATCACTCACTCACTCATTCATTCAATCTCTTTCAGTATTGCCCCTCCACGCTTCTTCCTTTGGACACTATTTACAGCAGGTCTATATGAGGAATACCTTATATCAGTATGGTCATCATCATTCACTCAATTCATTGACATGGGCAACTGACAAAGTTAACTCACTGACTCACTCGCTCATCATTCATTCATTCATTCAATCATAGGGTCTTATCAATATAGCACTTCTACTTATGTTTGGAAAGTACTTGGAGCCAATATGGGGCTCAACAGAGTTCCTCAAGTTCATTGCAGTGGTCAACTTGGCATCAGGCGTCGCCACATTCTTCTTATTCATATTCCTCTATACCATATTCGGAAATGAGGTACTCTTGTAAATGTTAATGCTTCAACTGCCCATGGTCATGTGACAACACATTGCTGACCATCATCTCTTCCCTCCTCTCTTAGGTTCAAAACAAACACATGTGGATTCTCCGGCATCATCCTTGCATTCTCTGTAGCCTTCAAACAACTCTCACCTGATCTCCCAACACAACTACTCTTTGGTGGTACTGTTAGAGCAAAGGTATGAATGACCCATCACTCAATCAGTCGACTCACTTACTCATACTTGAATGTACCCATCCATCCAGTTCCTCCCTTCGATATTCATATTGGTCAATGTTGTGTTTGCACTGCTTGGATTACAATCACGCACTCAATTGCCATTCATACTATTTGGTGCATTGTTTGGATGGATATACCTGCGATTCTATCAGATCAAGGGTGGTGTCAAAGGTGACCTCAGTGATGCATTCTCATTCGCCACATTCTTCCCTGATGCACTACAGTAACTATCCATCATCCTCCATCTCCCCATCATCATTGCCATCACATGTTGTTCTAACTCCATTCCATCAATCACGTGTGATAGACCACCAATCAAGATTGTATCAAACATAGTGTATAAGGTATTGGTCAAGGTTAAGTTGTGTCCAAATGCAACTGGAAGGGATTCATCAGTGTTGCCAACTTATAATACTGGAGCTGGATTCCAATCTGGTTCATCTGGATTGGCTGCATCATCAGTTGACATTGACAGGAGAAGAGCATTGGCAATGAAGGCTTTGGAACAAAGAATGGATATCCAACAACAACAGAATCAACTACAACAACAGCAACAGCAACAGCAGCAACAACAGCAACTGGAGGAGTAAGACGAGACCGTCGAAAAAAGAATAAACGTGATTAAGTGAGTCGAGTCAAGTCAATATGCGATTGATTGATGATGATGTACAGCTAAATAAGAATGCATTGCATGATGGGGAAAGGTTTATATATGTATAAAGAAGGTTAGGTTGGTTTGGTTTGGTTTGGTTGATGGGGAAAAGAGGTAAGAAGCAAAAGGTAGTTGTTGGTGACGGCTGGACACGCTTCAGGTTTGTCATCGTTGTCGTCATCATCGGTCGCAGGTGATGATTGATCGTTTGATTGTTTGATTGAATAAATGGATGGTTGATTGTTTGATTGTGATGTGATTAGTGTAAGTGATTGTTGTCATTGTCGTCGTCAACATGGTGAATAGGGGGGTTGTATGTGATTGAGTGATGGGATGGATGATCATGGGATGGAAGGGGGTGGAGTCGATAGTCCACCAATGTTAGAGTCCAATCCAATCCAATCCAATCCAATACACTTCAATTGCAATCCAATGGAATGATTCTAGGGGGTCCATGACCCAGAGTCCAGTCCAATGATTGAGTGAGTGAGTGCGAGGTATTACTTGGGATTGAACGAATGATCATCATCATCGAATCCTTGATTAACTATAGTCCAATGGGTACAGTTCGAGTCATAGCGTTCTCTAAAATCCACTTTATCGAGTCCTCTATGCCGACCTCAGTGTCGAACGAGGTCGGAATGCACTTCCAGGGAATGTTGAGACGGTACAGCTCCAGGTAGTTCTCCAGCTGCACCGGCGCAATGCGTCGTTTCAGGTCCTGCTTGTTGGCCAGCACCAGGAACACGCTGCTCTCGATGACGTTCTCTGTGAGCAGCAGGTCGATCTGCTCCTTGGCCGACGAGATCTGCAGGAAATCCGACGAGTCCACCACAAATATTACAACGTCGCATGCCATCAGGTAAGGCTTGTACGACTTGCGTATGTAATTGGGATATAATAGGTCGCCTGCAAACACCTCCCATCCCTTGTAATATATAGACTCCATATTCAATCCCATCGACACTATCACTGACTCTATACTCTTCTTTGATGATGAGTCTACAAACTTGTTCAACAGTGTAGTCTACATTCATTCATTGTTTGATTGAATGAGTATGTGAGTGAGTATGATGAGTATGATCAGCTGATCAATCAATCATGGTATACATACCTTTCCAGAGTTCTCTAGACCTATAATGCCAAGTTTGATCATTGATCCCTTTGGCAGTTCGGGTAGATATCCTTTTGAGAATATGCCACCCATCCTCGCTCTGTCTCTGTCTTCTGTCTACTCTCTGCTCTCTCTCCTCTTTTGAAGTCTAGTCTAGTCCAGTCAAGAAGCTACAAAGGTGAGTTGAGTCTATCTGGATCGAATGAATGTTCTCTGTGTCTAGTAATCTTGTTGAATCTATATATTAAACGGGCCTCCAATATAGTCCGTTCCTCTCTTCTATCTTCTTATGTATGTTATAATATAATATTATATTACAATGAGTTGTTGACCTCTATCTAATCTAATCTTGATGTTTCAGGAATGATCGCAATCATCAATCATTCAATCAAAGTAGTAGTAGTATAATATATATTATAAGTTGTAATAGTATGTATGTTTGTATGTGTACAAGTAAGTAAGTATCTGTAGTTTAATGGTTTGTAAAGAGATGATTCACACTACTACCCTTCCCCACCACATCATCAATAACCAACAACCATCCAAACAACCAACCAACAACAAACACATAAAGAAATCAAACGTTTTGGTTTTGATCCCTCAAGTTTGTTGGACTTGAGGTCATCACGATGACACTCACTAACACTCACACACACTTTGGAGTGAAATCCCAGTCGTTGGATATTTCCATCACTTTGTTGTCGACCTTATTCAACATGACTGGGAAAGTTCAAAGGTTGTTGACTGACAATGAACACATTAATTGCCTAATTAGGCGATTATGATGTTATGTGAAATGATAATATTGATCTGATCATCATACCGTATGATGACCCGACCCGGAGGATGTATTCATGATCATCGTCTTCGGAATGATGTAAAGTTTACTGTTCAATCTCAAACAGTACACAATAACATCGATGTGTCAAATAGATAGATGATGGCCTGGAACACAACCTTTACAACTAGACCAATGCCTACAAAGCATATAGCCTTGAATGTTGATGTATCCAGGAATACTATAAATAGATTTGATTGGTTAGTCAGCCAGTCAGCCAGTTGATCAAGTTGTTGGACAATGTTGAATGACACGTTACCTTTGATGGAAACTACGTTGGAAGTAAGAACGAATATACTTAGTATGGTACTGAAACTGAATGGATAGTCCCATATCATCATCAATATCAGGAAGCCTTTTCCAAAGCTTGATAGTATGATGGCCATCACTAAGTAGTTATATCTATGATTGATTGATTGATTGGTCGAGTGTTAGTTGGATGATTGAATGAGGTGGATGAGGTGGATGAATGAGTTGAATGAACATACTTTATGATTGCATAGCGTGACCTATATATTAATTGTACGGACAGTCCAATGGCGGCAACATATAGACCAAACTCTGCTATTGCCGTTATTAAAATGAACCAGTATCGATCGTAGGGTACATCATCTTGCCAATCATAATAATAGAATGCACTCTTTGGTTGTGTATACTCGCAGTACTCCTTGATCCTAAGCCATTTGATATAAGATTCAAAGAAGATATACACAATCAATACCTTAATATATTGTATCTGATCATCATCATCGCGAATAGGGTAAGGGCAAGGGTAAGGGTTAGGGCAAGGGTAAGGGTAAGGGTTGAGTTAGAATGAATGATCATCATACTCATGATGTGTACGTAGTGTTTGGTATTACATACTGATATCCAGTTGTCAGTGTATGTTTGTCTGTTGAACAACAAGTGTCTGTATGCTTGTGGCTTATGCAAGAAGAGGTCAAGGAACACAATGATAAAGTCGTACTCTACATATTTATCAGCTATTTGTTTACAATGTCCCTATATATCAAGTCATCAAGTAAGTATAATTGATTGATTGATTGATAGATTGATTGATTGACTCGCTCAATCATTCATTCATTCATTCATCCATTCATTCAATCGATGACATACACATCTTGTCAGTCTAATGTTACCACTACCAGCCTTGCCAAACTCTTTATATACATCATTGACTGGTCTTCCACACTCTATACATATCATTGTATGTTCTCTCTTGTCTCTGTCACTGTCACTGTCTCTGTTTGATCTTGAGTTGAGTCCAGTTGTCCAAGAGTTCAAGTCGACAAAGTGCGAGAGTGCCATTGAGTTTTTGTTTTTTTTTGTTTCAAACTTCCATCTTTGTGTTCATGGCATGAATGCTTGATTGCTCGGTCGGCTCAACTTATCACAATTACTCAACAAACACACTACACTACATCATCGAACACAGATACAGATATAGATATTGATAGCAAAGGAAGGATGTCGATGTTACAACAATTTATGTATAGTAGAACTAGTGTTATAACAGATTATGCATCTAGACTGGCAATGAGAGGTGCTGGAAAGGCAGGCAGCTTTTATATACCAAAGCCTGCTTTCGGTCAGAAGCCAGCTCCACCTCCATTCTTGCGCGATCCTGTCAATGGTTGGACGAGACTTACACATAGAGTCGGTGCCATTGGCAAGAAGCTGGGCATGACTAGCATTTGGGTCAACAGAGAGGCTATCCCTGTCACTGTCATTCAAGTAAGTTCATGTTCTGTTCATAACACAGCATGCCCTCTGAACGATTTACAAGCGAGCCAGCGAGCGAGCCAGTCAATAGCATTCAATCATTCGATCATGAAGTGATCATTCAATGATGCTTGAACAATCACGATCACGATATGATCAATCATCCGTGATCAATCAATGATCGTCATGCTTGCGACTCGCGAACAACATTCAATCACAGCGTCAATCAATCATTCATTATCAATCGATCGATCATATGAACAATCAATCAATCATTCAAACATGATCAAGTACAAAGACGACTGACATCTCTCACTCAATCAATCAATCACAATGTGAATGAATGAATGAATCACATAATATATATAGTTGCCAAACAATCAAGTAGTACAGGTTAAGCATTTGGTTAATGATGGTGTGGACTCGGTACAGATTGGAGCAGACGAGATCAGATTGAAGAATGTAAAGGGAACACTGCGAGGCCATTTTGCTAAAGCTGACGTGCCACCAAAGCGCATATTGATGGAGTTCCCAGTGACACGCAACGCCTTTGTGCCCGTCGGCACACAGATCACACCCAGACACTTTGTGCCCGGCCAGCTCGTGACGATCAAGGGTGTCTCCACCGGAAAGGGTTTCCAGGGAGGTATGAAGCGCTGGAACTTTAGAGGTCTGTCTGCGACGCACGGTGTGTCCGTGTCGCATCGTTCGATCGGTTCGACCGGTTGTCGCCAGACGCCCGGCCGTGTGTTCAAGGGCAAGAAGATGCCCGGTCGTCTGGGAGGCGAGAGCTGCACGGTGTTCAACCTGCAGGTGATTCAGATCAACACGGAGCTCGGCTACATCATGGTCAAGGGTGCCGTGCCCGGCAAGAAGGGCGGCTACCTGAGGATCATCGATTCGCGCTCCAACGTCTGGAAGAAGTCGCCACCCTTCCCCACGTACTTCAGACAGCCTGGCGAGCAGGACGTCGAGCTGACCATCGCCACCACCACCTCCGTCGACAGATATACAGCCATCGACGTTGTCAACAACCAGCTACCACCTCGCATCCAACCAAGACTGATTACACTGGAAGATACTAATGCGAGCGAGTCCACTGGACAACAGCAACAATCAAACCAATAAATAACGAGCGAGATAGATTAATTAAAAGTATATCGACTTTGGTTGATCGGTTTATTGTTTGATCTATTGATTGAGCGAATAGCAGAGTTCTACCTACTGCCATCACATCAATCCATCCAGGAATAGTCCCATGCCTTTGGTATTGTGCTCCATCGATTGGGCCACACACTCAGAAGCTTCGGTTTGGGCTCCATCCATCGATTCAAACTATCAATCCAATCCATCACTTTAGTTGACGGACAGTCTTGTTTCGATCGGTGCCTTGGCATCAAGCCAGCGGAGTACTAGTACGAGACCAAGTCCACAGATGCAGTTGCCAAAAAGTACGAACCATGATACGTTGTAGGAACCAGTTGCTACCTTGAGACTACCCAACAGTACGGGATAGATCACCAGGCCTGTGTTGTAGGCCGTGCCCACAAGGCCATATGATGTGCCCAGTACCGCTGGCGGAACAAAAACTGGCAGCGATGAGATGACTGTCGTGTTGAGCAGGGAAAAGCCTGTGCCGGCCAAGATCACCCATGGCAGCGGATGGATATCCGTGAGCACCAGCAGTAGGATACCGGCAGCCAGGAGCACAAAAGCCACGCCAAGTAGTAGTACGCGTCTGCCAATCCTTCGGATCAGGTAGCCAAAGACTGGTGAGAGTAGTGTGGAGCAAACTTGCTCGCTGGACAAGACCAGTGAGGCGACCTGCTCGTTGACGCCAAACTTGATCTCAAAGAAGTCTGGTCCAATGATTGCCAGGCCATACATTGAGCTGTAGCCAAAGAACACGATGCCAATCATTACCCATAGACGTGCGGGTAGCTGTACAACGATGCCCTTGACCCTTGAGGCCGAAGCAGTTATCGTCGACAGGATGCAAGATAATGATACCTGTGCCCGCCTCTGTGTCTTTATCCTCCTATCCTCTTCGTTATGATCCACAAAGTATTCCTCCTCTTCCACATCCTCCACATTCTTATTCGTCATATCCTTCAACAATATATCAACTTCGGCATCCTTTGAAATGTCTGTCCATCCACGTCCATTGATTGATTGATTAAGTGGTGTTAGTTGATTGATTGAGTGATGGGATCATTCCACAGACTACGACTTACCTTTAAACATTCGATGGATTAGGATGTAGACGATGTTGAGTGTTAGGCCGGTGGCCGCCACGATGAATATTACCCAGAGACTCCAACGGAATCCGATTGACTTGTTGACGATGGGCAATAGTATGAGTGATGCAACATTGCCAGCGTAGATCCAGCCGATTGATACACCGAGGAACGTCGACAGCTGCTTGTCCGAGAACCATTTGGTCATTAGGGCGTTGGAGCAGGCAAGCAACGACTCGCCGGCAAAGCCCAATATGAAGCGACTGAGTACCATCACGCCAAAGTAGGGAGGCGACAACGCGCCAATCAACGTTGATATCGTGACGATTGATGATAGGATCAAGCTCATTGGATGCGGGCCGACAATGTCCACCAGCACGCCCGTCAAGCACACCATGATCACGTTGGGGATGGCGTACAATGTGAACAGACTTCCAAATTGACGCGAGTCCAGATTGAATGTTCGGTAGAATGTCGATGACATGGCCTCTGGTGAGGTGTATGAGAAGCATGTTCCAAATCCAAGGTTGGCAATCAGTATCACAATGGTGGCAGTCTTCAAATTCCTCTTTGTGAACAATGATCCTCGAGGTTGTGTAGTCGTAGTTGTCGTCGTGAGTTTGACATCTTCCAATGATGTTGTTGATGTGAGTAATGCCTTGTCGTCGCTGTCGTATTCGTCCTTGTCACGTTTGTCGTATGATAATATTGCCGCTCCATCCGCCGATGAATATGATGATGCTGATGACTCGCTAACAGCGGATGAACTTCTCTCTCTTATATCATTGATCAATCTTATATCATCCTTCATTTGTTCGGCCTCGACTTCCAAGCCACCGCCACCATCATCGTCGTCACTAACTGAACCAGATTGTCTCATTGTTGCAACTACTTCAACAACGTCATTAACATCTTGTTTTCGAAGTCTAAGTTGATCTCGATCATCATGCTCATGCTCAAAGTCAAGTTCATAATCATCGGTTGTTGTTGTAATATGTTGATATTGTTGATCCTCAATGTTGTTGTTATTGTTGAGAAGTTGTTGTAGTTGACCACCAATTGTTGTTGATGTTGTTGAAGTGGCCACGTCGTCTCCACTTGAAGTCTCGCCAGTGTCATCTGAAGGTCTACATGCATCATCATCCCAGTTTGTTACATCGGCCATCACCTCATCATCATGTATCTCTTCTCCATTATCAATATCATCTGTTGCCACATTCTCATAATGAGCATTATCTTCTGTTCTCTTCATATTCACTCACACTAACTTTGTCTGACTTCTGTGTTGGGTAGTTGGCTGGCTCCCTACTGACTGTTTGGCTAATTATATAATTATGTCAGATAGAGATAGTAATAATAAAGATTGAATGAGTAAATATTTACTATTCTAAAAAATGTTATTTAAATGAAGGTAAGTGTATATTACATTCAAATAATGATGATTGATTGATTGATTGGATTGCTGCAACATTGTATGTATGTATGTATTTGTCGGCACAATGAAATGGAGATTGATGTCGATAATGTAGTACACACATTAACACAACATCAATCCGACCAACCACCATCGTCGTTATTTCAATCCAAAATCGGACGAATCTAACCCTTTAATATTCATATCACCACGCTCACACTCCATATTGATTGTTTGACTGACAAGGTGAGGTTTTTCAATACATACCAATTAAATACATTCATTCATTCATGCATTCTTTGGGTCTGAAACAAGCTTCAACAACTTATTTCAATCCAATCAATGACAATCTACTAACACTTAATCAATCAACCTTTATCTGATTGTCCTTTCTTGGCGAAAAGACCTTCTCCTCACCCAAGATTAATTCATTTCGAACTTCAAGTTTTTTATTTTTGATTTTACAGACTCTCTTTTCCGTTCTCTTAATCTATTCACTTGGCGCCACCATCACAGATAACTCTCCAATGTCACACCAACATGTATGTGGTCAATATCATTCATGAATCAATGGCTAATGGCTAATGGCTACATACATTGGAATTGCGCCACTCTGTACAAGGACCAATGTTTGTTGAGTATTGCCAGAAGCGATCTAAATGAATGATAACAAGTTGCTGTTGGTTAGTCTCTGTTGTCCTTCTTAACATTCGTACAGCTTTGTAGAGATGCTCAACTCACCAATGTCACACCAACATGTTGTACAAGAGCAACAAGAGCAACAAGAGCAACAGCAACAACAAAAATGGGCTGATCCGAATATCGAATCTCAAGTACAAGCAATAGACGACAAAAAGAACCTCACAGACGAACAAAAGTTAATAATCATCAGGACCATCCACCCTGACGTTCGTTATATCCCAGACAGACTTTTACCATTGTACGCCGCCAGTTGCCGGCCCGCCACACCCACTCCAACGAGTAAGTACAAACAATAACGGCGCAATGTCTTCATCCAATATACTAACATACGCACTCAATCCTAAGCTCCCGGACTACATCAATTGAGCGAAGGAGGCAATCGTAAGTACAAATTAGAGTGGTTTTCCTTATAACCATACTGACTCTTATCTAGTCAAACTGAAGAGACAAAGCAATGAGGACGATGTTTTTGAGTTACCGTTATCAAGAAAGCATCTGAAGCGAATGCATGACGAAAGGCAAACTTTCATTGGGTTTGTGACCTTTAATCAGGATGCCTCCCCCGGGGGAGGCTATCATTTTCTATGTTCTGGATTCAACAACCTCCAAATCAGCAACCACTAGTGAATCAATTCCTCCACGCTCCCCAACACCTCCCCTGTATGAACCTGACCGGGGGCAGGTACAAAGAAAGAAGGCCACCAAGGGCGGTGATGCTGACATTGCCGCCCCTTATTTTCTATCATACTCAGCTCGTGCACCCACATCAACAACCGCAACAGCAACAGCAACAACAACAACCACAACCACATCCACAAGATGCCATCAAGAAACATTACAAGCATTTGGCTATCGCGTATAAGCATCAAGATATTTCCAAAAAAGTGTTTATGGAGCATCTGACCATTATCTTTGGTAACAACGCGGAGAAGTACTTCAATATGATCCACAATGACGAAGATATTCTGAACTCTCCCAGGCCTCCACCAGGATTCACCCAGACCTTGCTCGAGTCGACTCCCAAGATTCGCGGTCTTGTCGAACAAATTCTTTACCAACAGCAACAACAAAAACAACAACAACAACCACAACCCAAGGGCCAACAACAACAACAACAACAACCTAAGAAACTTCAGATGACTCAACATAATGTTGAACAACAACAGCATCATCAGGACCATTATCAAACCGAGGCCTTTCGTTCACTAGCTATTCAGAGAAATCGACATCAACAGCAACATACACTCTTGAAATCAATCAAATCTCCGATCACAAACTTCATTTTCAGTAGTGACACCTTTGATAGACAATATTTTAAGGACGACCCTAAATGTTGTCATAAATGGTTCAAAGATCTTGCTGATGTCCTGGAGCATTTCCCTCATCAACAGACTGCCCCATCACCTGGCTTCTATCACTGTACCATCTCTAAACGACAATTCTCAGATTTGAACACTTGTCAGCATCCCACGCCAAGGACAAATACTATGACAGGGTGCTCACTCACAAAGATGCTCCCCCAGTGATATTCTTTGGGGCAAGTGCCTTCATCATGCGCCCACCATCATTCCTTTCGGATATAACATGGTACCCAACCCCAAGCAACAATCGTACCCTCGAACATATGTCAGATAGGTTACTTATTCAAGACCTCAAACAATTCACAACCTATCTTATTTATCACATTGGATCAATCTATTCAAGAAATAGCCGAACTACTATTCAGCATCTCTTTGCATTGGTTCCTCCTCAGCACCCACAATTATTGTTTTTCAAACAACACTGCCAACGGATCGATGGTAGTGTCGTCAATCCTCTTATTTACTTTGAGGATAACACCCTTCACACTTTATCATTCCCAAATCATTTGGTCAACATTGCTATTGCTTGCGACACGATCAAAATCTCCGAAGCCTTGTGGGACAAGGTCACAAACAAATCATACAACAAACAGAAGGTAGGTCATCAAAATTGAAGTAGGGATACTTCCAAATGATTGGACTCTTTTTTGATCATTGAATAATTTTCAAATAAATAATTAATAATATTTTTTAATGTAACCAATTAATTGGGTTATTTTATTTTTGTTTGTAATGATACATGTGGTGCAGAACTCACTACTTACTTCTCAAGCTCCTCAATCATCATCCTCATAATCATCATCATTCATCCAGTCAATTAATTTTTTCTGATCATAATCATGTTGTTATTTGATTAATACCAGAAATTTTAGGTTAAACCTTTGTCTTGGTTAACACCAAAACTAGAAAACCAAGACAGAGAAGACTTCTCTAAATCAGAATCTCCAAACTTTAATCCTGGATGACCAATAATGATTTCGATCAATAAATCTTTGATTATAAAAGTATTAATAATACAAGTCTGATTTATGATGTCTTGTGATGTTGTTGATCCTTGTCCAACACAACTCCAAGTTCTATATCATTGTTTGTTGTTGTTGGATTGATATTGTTAGAGTTGTTGTTGTTGTTGTTGTTAGAGTTGGTAGTATCAATGTTTTGTACAACTTCCTCCTCCATCTGAGGAAGATAATGTTGAGGCTCTTGTGTTGGTGGAATGTCAACTTGGATGACAGTGTCGGACTCGGTGTCGGAATCCTTTGGATGCAGTGGTATGGTGTCCTTGTGATAGATGACCAAAGTGGAGATTGGACAACGGTTCCAGAATGGCTCATAGTCGCTGGATTCATTCAAAGGACGATCGCCAACAAACTCCAGTTCGTCGGCTGACATCTGTCGCTCCAACACCGTGCCATCCTTGAGGTGACTGCCGCCACTGGACTGCGGCGAATTGGACTGCGACTCATCAGAGTCGGTTTGAACGATCGATGGATGGTCGGGCTGCGTGCCGCCCACGGCATGGGCCTGTGAGTCGATGTTTCCTGCGGCTTCGGCACCCTCGATCGCCTCCATCTCGCTCAAATGTTGATGATGTGACTGCTGAACCTCGTGCTTCCTCGAGCCCGACAGGTGGACCAGGGACAGGGAGCGCTTCATCATGCTCTGGATGCCCGGCACGTTGAACATTGACGAGCTCAGCGACGCGACCTTCTTCTCCTCGTAGGGCACGACCAACAGGTCGTACTGCACGGCCAGCTCCAGCAAGTCGCGCTGTCTGTGATTGGCTGTCTTGTAGATCACGCTGAACCTGTCCTTGTTCTTGCCATTGAGCACGTCGTGCAAGTGTGAGTGGTCCTCGTCCACCAACTCAATCGTGTGATCCAGGTCTGTTGAGTCCTCCTTGAAGCCTACAGTGGGTTTGGTGACCACGCCATCATCGAGTTCTATCTCCTCCTTGTGGTCCTTGCTGTCCTTGTACTCCTGTGCCTGTTGTTTCTTGTGTTGTCTGTACAACAGGTTGTCAAAGACCACCACGGTGATGGTGACATTCTCTGTCTCGGACATGCGGTTGACCAACTCAAGGGCCTCGGCATCGTTGGGGTTCTTGCCGCCGAGGTACGCCAGCATGATGCGACGGAAACGATGTGGCACCGACTTGAAGCCGGAGCGATCGGTGAAGATACCAACGTGTGATGTGGAGTTCTTGAAGATGGACCACTGGACGTCGGGGTTGATCATGCCACCGCGGCCGTGGATCATGTTGTTGGTGTCCTCACCGACGATCAGCAGGTTGGCGTCCTTGTTGTGTGTGAAGTTGATGATCTCCTTGGACAGATGGTCATTGTCCGAGACGATCGAGTGGAAGGACAGCTTGAGGCGCATGAGCGCACCCTGCTGGATCAGATGGCTGTAGGTGGAGCGAGAGACATCGCGACGAATCTGGCTGATGAAATCGGATGGACGGTCGTTGACCTCGGAGATGGACAACATGTACAGCTTCTTGTACTTCTTGCGACGCAGTGGTGCCACCGTGGTGGGCTTGGCAGTCTTGTTGTTGCCAATTGTGAAGCCCAGGTCGACCATGGCCGATCCGATATTGATCGAAGGCGTGCAGAGCACGACCGTGTACTCGTCGTTGGCCTTTTGTTTCTCCTTCTTCATCACGAGCGAGATGAGCGGACTGGTCGTGACGGTCGTGAATACGGCCATCAGCACGAGGATGCCAAATACCTTTTGATTGATGATACCAAAGTCCAGGCCGAGGTTGAGCACGATCAGCTCAACAAGTCCACGCGTGTTCATCAGGATGCCAATGGACAGCGCGTCACGCTTGTTGCTACCGGTGAACAAGGCCACGGTGCCCGAGCCCACGACCTTGCCAAAGCAAGCGCACGAGATAATGAGCAGCACGCCCAACCAGGCATCGCCCGAGTTGAGCTTGGTGAGGTCGGTCCTCAGTCCAGAGATGACAAAGTAGATTGGCAGCAAGAAGACCAAGATGAGGTCCTCGATCTTTTCTGTGATGGCTTGATTGAAGCCGCCTGTCTTGGGCGTGATGGCGCCCAGTGTGAATGCACCAAACATTGCGTGAATGCCAATGACCTCTGTGGCCCATGACGAGGCGAACAGGAGCACGACCACGCCACTCATGACCACGTGTGAGGGTGATGGTGGATGGCCATTGGATGCTGCGTGGGGGTCGACGTGCCACACGTATCCAATGAGCTTATGCAAGATTGGTCGCACCAGCAACAACATGACTGCGACGAATCCAATGGCGCCAAGTAATGTCCATAATGTAGCCAATGAATTTGAGCTTCCTGCCAAACTGACTGACAATCCCAGCAGTACCCATCCACAAATATCATTGATTGCTGCGCATGCTATTGTCAAGATACCAATCTAGAAGTAGTGATGTTCCATGTTTGATTGATTGATTGATTGATTGAGGAGTTGAGTGAGAGAGTGAGTGATGGTCCAGTCCTCGCGACATGGATTCACGCAATGTACTTACAGGGGTCGAGAGCAACTTCTTGGTTGCAAGGATTCTGGCCAACACTGGGAAGGCTGTGATACAGAGGGCGACACCAACAAAGATGCCGAGTGAGTAGGACCAGGCAGTCTCCTGGAGATGCGCCAAATAGAGTGATGCCACAAGGCCCAGTCCAAAGGGCAGCACAATGCTAGCGCCACTGATCATGACTGCGCGCTTAATCTGCGAGCGGAACAGCTTGGGGTCCAGCTCCAGTCCAATGATAAACATGAAGAACATCAGACCGACCTGGGCAAAGGCGCTCAGGATGCGCACCGACGTCGGGGGGAACAGCGTGCTGGAGAAGTGCGGGATTTTCCCCAGCGCCGTCGGCCCCAGTAATATACCTGCTATAATCTCTGCTATCACTGGTGGCTGTTGGATCTTGGCAAACAGCCAGGCCATGAATCTGGCCAAGATGATGATCAACAGTGCCTGCACGAGGAACAGTGATACATCTGATTCCAATGGTCCGTATACCATAATTAATTACTATTATCTGTTTGTTGTATATATTATATTATATGTATAAACTATGTATTATATATGTATATATGTATATATTATAGGTATAGGTAGGTATTGTTTGTAAGGAAGGGAAGCAAGCAATCGAATTATTCGCGATTGATTGATGGTGTGTGGTGAGTGAATGAGTGAGTGTGCGAATGACCGAGTCGTCGACGTGTGTCGTTGATTGGATTATTACTGTGTTGTGTGTGTGTGTGTGTTTGATGGTGAATGAATAAATGAATGAATGTGTCAATTATTGGTATATTGATAATGATTATGTGTAAATATATATATGAATGATTGAATGAAAGAATGAATGTTAGTAACTAATGTTATGATAAAGATCGAATGAATGAATGAATGAATGAATGAATGAATGAAGTTAAGTGAGTAGTATCTTGAGAGGATATGTTTGTGATCTCCAGGCTTTTGAAACAAACTATTCTGCTTCAAAGCCCACCTTAGCCTCTTGGGCCGCCAATGAGAATCGCGTGTACTTGTCCAAAGACGGCATCGGGAAGCAAAGATGAGCTGTGTGTGTTTGAGCATTGGCGAGTGTGTGTGGGTGGGGGTGATCCTTACGCGAGGCTCGAAGGAAGGAAGTATCAACGGATAGTTCGGTTGTGAGCTGCAAGAAAGTTGCGAGCAAAGTAAGTAGTAAGCAATTAAATGAGCCAAGTGCAAAGTATGTAAGAATATCTAAAAAGGCTATTTATATATACACACATATATATAATGAATAGAGATATAGAGATAATGTTTAAAGAAATAATTATTAAGAGAGAGATGTCAAATGATTTGACTGGTGCAGTTCAGGTGATAAGAGGAAGGAAGAGTGTGAGGAAGAGTTGTGTTGGGGGTGGACAAACAATCTGCGCAGAAGCCTCAGGCTGTGTTTTGCTCTGGTGCAAATGGTTATGAAGTGAGAAGAGCAGCGATCGTTTCTGTATTGTTATGTCGATTCGGTGTGAATGAGTGAAGGGTTGGTGGAGTTGTGGGAGGTTGTCAGTCATACCCATATGGTGCACTCGAGTGGAGATAGATGTGGCGATGGATAATGAGTGAGCCCAATCGCTTCCATGGACTTTCAGACCACGATGCGTTTTGCAAGACCTAAGTCAACATCAACGAAGATGTGCTTGTGTGTTTGTTTTTTTGGGGTGGGAACATGCATCACTCGACTTTTTTATTAAACATGTTGGATGGAAGACTATGCTAAAGACCAGAGTTATACAACAAACCCCTATGTGTTTGCAATAAATGATGCCAATGTAAATCGACCCAACCCATAAGGTCGTTGAAGAAAGTAAAGGTTGTGGGAACAAACACATAATAATAAGAGATGACGAACGAGTGTGAGTGATCCATATTCAAGGAATGTGTATCATATCATATCATATAATAATAATTGTTTAATGGATTAAAAGTGATTGATTGTTTATCCTTTAATTTTAGATTAATCACATTTAAATAAATTGAACATCATTATTATTAGGATTGAGGAAAACTCAAGAACATATTATTTTAATAATAATAATATTATAATATATATTAAATAATTTGTTGTTGGAGTTAACCGGAAAGTAAGAAAATGTATTTGTAAATAGGTCATCATTATTTATCTCTGTATCACTCCATTTGACTCCTGTTCAACTCTCATTAAATATTAACTATGATGTTTGAAATTGAAAGTGTGACCAAACATCTCGTTTGGTAGGTATGATAGTTCGTTCAGTTCAGTCTGTTCAGTTCAACAACAACTCATATGGAGCCAAGTAGTTGATAATGATCAATCACTACAGGAGTGTGGTCGTGGTGGTCGGCAACTTCCAAACACACGTATATAAATATATGTGTGAATGAGTGAGAGAATGAGTGAGTTGGTGTTTGTTAAGGGTGTTTGAATGAGTGAGAGAGAGAGTGTGAGTTAGTGAAGGTGTGACTCCTTCTCTTTGATTCATCCTCAGTTGATCACATGTAATCTATTATTGAAGTGATCCAATCCACATTCACAATCTAATACATTAACTACTACTACTACTACTACTACAACCTCTACTACTACGACTACTACTGCTACTACTACATCATCATACTACAAGAATAATAATATTTCTCAAAAGACTTTTAGAATAATAATAATGTTTAGATATTGTAAATATAGTCCTCCATTTCTTCGGAGTAGTTGGATATTATTATATTCTATAATATTATTATTAGGTATACCAAGTAAACATGGTACATCATCATTATTAGTCCAAGCAGAAATATATAACAATAATAATAATAATAATGATTTATTAGATTATAATAATACTGGAATGTTTGCCAATATTAATAACTTCACACTTTATGGATCGAATCCATTTATTAAATCGGTGTCTTCGGAAAAGATGAGTGAATATGCCGGATCATTCTATAACAAACTACCAAGATACGATATCTACGCTAGATCAATCAACAACACATTCAATCCAAATAATTCCAGTTATGTAGAGGTATGTTTGATCAGAGCCTATTCCAAAGGAATCATCATTATTAATATATTTATTATTATGTAGTCTGTACTACTCACTGGTGCACCATTCGCTTTGGTATCATTATTGGCAGTATTGACAATTGTATTTACATCAATTGGAATGATTATATATTGTATTTGTATCAGACCAAAGTCAAAGATGCATTACCAAATGTACAAGACCAAATCATTGCCAAAGTGGAAGGATCATTGTTGGTCCGTGATGACAATAGTATTCCTTCTAATCATATTGTAGGTACAATATATGTTTGATCAATCCTCTGGAACTATTCCTAACATACTTTTTTTAGTTGTTTCTTACTTGTTGGAATGTTTACCAACTATGATTTGGACAATGCCATCAATGTTTCAATTGATAATCTACAGGCCAATATCCAGGATCGATCAAATATCGAGTCGAGAGTGGTGGATGAGGCAGTGAAGCTATCCATCTATCATCATCTACCTTATGATGCATTCCAGGTGATATCCATGACACAAGATGTATTGGAGTGGACAAACAAATCGCAAGAGTACATTCATCACTATGAACAGATCAGATATGACTTTGTCGGCTCGTCCATCATGGCACTGTTGGCAGCGGTCGCGCTCGGACTCCTGGCCGTGCTGTTTAGGAGCCGAACGGTTATGATCATCTTTGTCACGTTCGGTGTGATATTGAGCACCGTCCTATGGGTCGTGCCAGCGGCCCATGTACCAATGGGTGTGGTCATCAGCGATATATGTCCACAACTACAGACGATCGTTCAAGAGAATGTTCCAGAGGATGTCCAACCATATGTTAACTTCTTCCTAACATGCAATGACTCGACCAGTTTCCAATTCGTCGATGACATGCTTGCCAGTGCAATCCGTGACGAGGAGACCAAGCTCAACTATGCAATCAGACATCACTATCCCAATGATACCATTGACCAGCTTCAATTCAAGATCGCAGAGCTCAAGAACTTGACCATTGACTCCAAAGACATCCTCAACTGCAATATTACATCCATAGCCTATCTCTCAATCCAGAACATTGTTTGCATTGAGATACTGTATGTATACCATCCGTTCACTCGCTCATACATACTTACTAATTCGTTCATTCATTCAATCAAATAGTAATGCATCATCTCTTTTATCGACTCTGTTCATTGGCATTGGAGTGTTGTTCTTGTTGTCGATGGTCACTGCGATCAAGTTGTATGGATCATCAGAGAGAAGTGATGAGAGTGCATCACTTATCGATCGTGGTGAATATGATGATAGTGAATGCAGTGATGATGACGATGATGAAGATTCCATTCAAAGACGACCATTAATAATACCATACAATATCCAAGACAATGACGATGATGACAATGACAATGACCACAACAACGAATTAGATCAAGAACGACCAAGCATCGAGCGTGTCATCAAAGATATAGTTGGTATTGATTCAGATGAAGATCTGTCCCTAATCTAATATATTACTTCTATCGAACATATATGTGTATGTAATTTATCTCTTTGTTGTCAGTGCAGTTAATTAATGCGAGGGTATCTTGACTTTGTTGTTTGTGAAGAGGGTAACGTTTTGATGGATAACGTATCCCAAACAAACTTTAAATTGAATTAAAATGATTTTTCAAAACAGAACCCTAGGGTTGTCTCACTCGCCCACCTTCCAGCTGGCGACTTGCACTCACTCCCACGACACACAGCATGCCTTGAATTGGATACTCACCAATAAACATTGACTTCTTCTTCTTTATCCACATAATAGTTTCAGGGACAACAAGATGAGCAAGCGTAGGTTATCGAGATGATGAACAAGATAGATAGGCGAATCCATCGATAGTCAATCACGTCAATCAATCACATGATGAATGATGATTGGAATGCAGGATACACGAACGAAGGATAGGATAGGATTGGAACTTGGATGGATCGACGATGGACATCGACAGACATATTCAGAACAGATAGATTAATACGTTTTCTTTGATATTACGACATTATAGCACAAGCTATTGGAAGCAACTACAGAGTCGCCCTTGGTCTCCCAGTCGGTGCTGTCATGAACAGTGCTGATAACTCTGGTGCCAAGAACTTGTACGTCATCGCCGTCAAGGGCATCAAGGGTCGTTTGAACAGACTCCCAGCCGCCGGCGTCGGAGACATGGTCATGGCCACCGTCAAGAAGGGAAAGCCAGAGCTCAGAAAGAAGGTCTGCACTGGTTTGGTCGTTCGTCAGAGAAAGCAATGGAGACGCAAGGACGGCACCGTCCTCTACTTTGAGGATAACGCCGGTGTCACCTGCAACCCAAAGGGTGAGGTTAAGGGTAACATTCTTGGACCAGTTGCCAAGGAGTGCTCCGACCTTTGGCCAAAGGTTGCCACCAACGCTGGTAAGTGTTATCAAATAACGACAATCATTCATTCAAAGTGTAATAACTAATCATTCAATCATTCATTCAATCATTCAATCAATCATTATAGGTACCATCGTCTAAACCATTGTTTATTTGAATAAATTAGATGTCCACCTGAATCATTTAAATCCAACTCCATCCATCATCTTTGCCAGAACATTCATTCGTTCATTCAATCAATCAATCAATCCAGGTCTGGTCATACAATGATCAAAGTGTAATAATTTGTCGAACTTGGAGATAACCATGTCCGACCTTCCGACCGTCATTACCTTCTAGCTTGGTCCATGACTCATATATATGTTATCATTTATTATTACTATTCTATTAGATTGCAAACAATGAGATCGTTGTCGTCATCACATACACCCTTTCATTTGCACCGAGGACCACAAGGCACCATTTTGGGCGTCAAATGAATGAAGCCCCTTCAAAGATAATTCAGAGGTTGTTTGTGGGGCTGAGGCCTTCAGCCTTGTTTGACAACCTTGTTCAGTCCACTTCAGTTCAGTTCAGTCCTCCAAGTGAACTGACCTGACACTTACCTTACTGTCCCAGCCCTACCCAACTCATTCATTCAAACTGTTTGAATGAACATAGATATATATTAATTACTTTTATCTCTTTAAAACTAACTAACAAATAATAATGTCATACGGTTATCCAGGAGGCTACCCACCAGGAGGTCCACCAGGCTACATGCCACAGCAACCTTACGCTGGAATGCCACCACCACCAGGCGTGGCAATCTGCCCCCCAGCACCACCAGGTTATGGTCAAGCTGCACCATGGACCCAGTACGGATACACACGTCCTACCTACTCCTACCCCGACCCATACATGAGAACCAACCAATTCATCTTGCCCGTTGGCATCCCACCTCAATTGGCCGAGCGTATGATGCAGGCTTCAGCTGCCTTCCGTATGTTTGATACCAACTGGTCGGGTAGACTAAGCAAGAAGGAGTTCAAGAGGGTAAGTCAATCAACTAGATTATACATCATACATGCGTACTAATACCCTCGAATGATCAATTGATCTAATGAATGAATGATTAGGCACTTCTACATCTTGGCTACTACCTGGGCAAGGGTCAGTCTAGATTCCTGTTCTGTCAGATTGACACCAACTACTCTGGATCAGTCGATGAGAGAGAGTTCTGTGAGTGGTATGTCCATCACACTCCCGCCCCATACCCCTATTAAGCATAATGGCTATATACCCAGGGTCGCTCGCGCACTACTCCACCTACCTTACTGTTGGCAGTACAATGCAATGAATGGCGCATGTGTTCGTGTCTGGCTGGACAAAGAGCACACGCACGCATGCACAATCTATCAATCAATCAATCAGTTAGACAACCGACCCCAATACATGTATAAACATAAAACAAGTATCTATAAACGTTTAGATACTACACATCATAAAAAGGTGTAAGAAGAATCATAATCCAGCTCATTCCATTCATTGATCTAATCTGGTAATGGCGTGGACCAAGTCCCAAAAGAGATTTTTTGCATCTTGAGGTCCACCACAAAAACGAGTCCTTCAAAAGGACCATTGAGGTCCACCTTTTCATCATCACATAAGATAAATTGGTTCAATCAAATAACATAACATAACATACATATATACATAACATAAGATGTCAGTGGCAGCATCAAAGAATAATGTAAAGAGTGTTGGTGGAGTAGACACAATGACGATGATAAAGTCATCAGTGGCAGGTGCCGCAGTTGGCTCTGTGTTTGGCTACGCCCTGCAGAGGTCTGGCGTGTACCTGCCCCGCATCATCCAGGCCCAGATGGACTTTTCCAACTTTACCATGCTCAAGATGTTCATGACGGCCGCACTCACAAGCTCACTGTCAATCACCGTGCTCAGCCGCAACAAGACATTCACACTGACCAGTCTGCCTGTGATGTGGCGACGTAACCTGTTTGGTGGTCTGATAATGGGCGCAGGCATCTATCTCACTGGCTCATGTCCAGGCACCGTACTGGCACAGGTTGGCGCCGGCCTCACCAGCTCATACTTCACGCTTCTGGGTGGCCTTGCTGGTGCCGTGCTCTATGGCTACGTGAACAGCAAGGTGGAGAAGGCACTGTCAAAGGAAAGCGACGAGCAGTTCCTGCACAAGGGACTCAACGTGCCATTCTATAAAGTAACACTGCCATTCGCTGGCATACTCATGGCCTTCTTGGTCGTGCTGGAGCGCTTTGTCCCATGGCAAATTGACAGCGGTGTGTCAATGTCCGCGCCAACCTTTGGAACCCTCGTCACCCCATGGTCGCCCTATGTCGCTGGTCTTGTCATTGGCCTGCTACAACTGCCATCCCATCTACTCACTGGCTCTGGACTAGGCACGAGCTCAGCCTACTGCACCGTGTCCTCAAGACTCTGTGGACTGCTTCCCTCATCCGATTCGATTACCGGTTACTTCAAGAAGTTCACCCAGGACGCCAAGAAATTCTCGGGACCTGCACTCAACGCTGGTATCGTCCTTGGAGCGTACCTGTCGTCCAGGACAGCATTGGTGTCTGCTGCTGACAGTGCAATGGCACACTCACCACTCTACTATGTTGCTGGAGGTGCAATTCTTTTGTTTGGCGCTAGAATGGCCAATGGATGCACCAGTGGACATGGACTAACTGGTATGGCCAAGTTGGAGAGTATGTATAATCATAATAATCATTTGTCTCTAATTCTCAATCCAATGGAATGGATTATTTAACTAACTTATGACGCTTTCCTTTCCTTTTACAATCAATGTAGTTGGATCATTGATTACAGTGGCGTCACTGTTTGCGGGAGGCATCATTACTTGCTTCTTGTTAAAGTAATGTAATGTAAAGTTAACTTAAGTAAACGCAACAGTTGCAACAACAACAGACAACAGACAACAGCCAACAGTAGTAGTGAGTGGCAACAGTGGCAATAGTGTCGTGTTATTGTTATTGTTGTTGATGTTGATTGTTTGGATTCTTTGTAATTGTAATGGGTACGGTGAGCACCGTCAACTCGTTGGGTTCAAGGACTGACTGGATTGATTGGTTGGGATGTTAAGGTATGGCATTGACATCCATGGAGGGTGTGGAGTGAGGAATGGTAGATCATCAACCTGATCCAAACTTAAAGGTGGTCATTGTTCGTTCTTCATCCTCTTCCCTTCACTCTTCATTCGACCAACCTACCTACAACTACACCTACACATTTGATTGGATTTATTGTATGAATGTATGTATGTACATGTATGTCCAAACAGATAATAACAATAACAACATCAACAACAACAACATGAATTATAATGTTTGTTCCACTCTACTACTAAATCATTGTGTTGTTTGGACGATGGTTTGGATGGATGGATGAGTTGATGGAGGGATGTAGGGAAATAGGTTAGTGATGTATTGAGAGAGTGAAGTGGGTTAGTGTGTTTGATTGATTGATTGATGTGATGGGTGAGTGAAGTTGTAGTAGTGAGTGTGTGTGTGTGAGGTGGTGGTGGATGGATAGAGGTGATGTGTGTTGTGGTGATGCTGTGGACAACGACACACACGACTACAGATCATCATTCCTTAAATGTCATTTGGTCGTCATCACTCAACACAACACAACAAACACATAACACAACATAACTCTTCTCATCACTATAACTTCAATACAAGTGATGACACTCAAACACGCGAGTGTCTCAGACAAACATTGGCAATAACAGCTCATCACTGAACACACTCCCCAATGGTGACCTTAAATGGTCAATGTCCGTCCACCCACAATCACAGTCCACATCTACACACTCACACCAGCTCACACAAGATGATGTCCACTCTGGCACCACCCTCTTTATTACTGCCGGCCTGGCTGCATATGTCATGCTGTCATCAGACTTGGACATGTCAGTCAGTCAGGTCAGAGGTGGGTGTGAGAGTGTGAATCAATCAAATCAATCAAATCAATCAATCAATCAATCAATCAATCAATCTACTCGCCAGTAGGTCGACTTGAGGAAGAGGAGATAGAAGGTGGAGAGGATGTGATGTGTTCCGCCATCTGCCACCACCGGGACGCCGCACCATCTTTGTCCAGAGGGAGAGAGTGTATTCTCTCACTCTACATCACTCATGATTATTCTACCTCTCTCTATCTCCCTTATCCCTATCCCTGTCCATATATTCCTTGTTTCATTCATTCATTCCTTCTCTTTTAAGAGAGTTAAGTATCCATCCATCCGCTTCCTCCTCAGCCCAATCACCTCCACACCTCAACTCCACGCCACTCACTCTAAGTAGTAGGGTGTTGTTGTTGTTGTGTTTATTTATTATTACTTAAAGTTAGTTTAGTACTTAGTCCAGAGGTTGTTTGGCCAGTTTGGTTCATTTGTTACTTCGACTCTACTAACATCAACTTCCATGACTTGTAAATCTATCTAAACATACAATAACTTATTAATTATATTATATTTTAAATATATTCTTATATATATATTATTTATTCAATCAAATTTCAATCCATCTTCAACCATCATCCAAACTATTAATCCAATCAATCAGTCAATTAAATTGGAAACGATAATAATTATATAACAATCAATCAAGAATGAGGCAATCCAAACAAATATTATATTTATTAATTACATTCAGTATACTATTTAATCATTATATAGTTGGTAAGTATTAATTATTTAGTCAGATCGTTCAATCCCATAAATTAACATTCATTCCCACACTCAAACACACACAACCTGTGATCAATCAATGAATGAAACATGATATGTAGCACATCAAAATGCAGGTAGTTCGATTATAATACCACCGACTGATCAGGCTTCATCGAGTGCACCACCACCCTCAGCATCATCGTCAGCTCCACCTCCTACGACGACACCGCCATCGACACCTCCACCGACTACTCCTGAGCCGACTACTCCTGAGCCAACTACTCCCGAGCCTACAACTCCTGAACCTTCTACACCAGCACCGATTGGATCAAGTTCGGCGCCACCATCGACACCTCCACCATCGACCACTCCACCGTCAACTCCATCACCTCCACCATCGGCCACTCCAGCGCCATCATCATCACAAACACTGACACCTCCACCCGAGGCCATTGATCCCAATCAACCACAAAGTTCAAACTCGCCGATCATTTCTGCATCATCCCAGCCAGCACCAACTCCATCACCATCTCCATCATCATCAACTCCACCAACAACTGGCACTACAACATCTTCATCACCATCATCATCTTCACCAAGCGGCAACAGCAACAGCACTGTCCCACCAGGTAATCATACATCATCGAGCAATGATACATCGTCGGCAACACCAACACCATCTAAACAAGCATTGAACACCAATGTCATACCAACGACATTCCCAATTGCAACAATCGTCAACACTGTCAAGGGCAATACCTCGACGCCCTACGTCATCAGTCAAATCCAAGACCGTGATGCCGTCTCCAACTGCAAGGCCAAGACCTACTGCACCCTAACAGGCAATGCCAAGTCCACAACAGCCTTCAATGTATCTAGTAAGTACACATTGATCATTTGAATGATCACATGATCATCAGACTCACTCACTCATTCAATCATTAGTGGCAAGCGCCTTTGGAAAGTGTATTGTGATGTTGTCCAACTTGGTTAATAAGGATGGTACTGTGTCATGTAAGATATCAACATTCAACACTGACACTGGTACAGTATACTTCAAGACCTACAACAAGAACAAGAAGTGTACAACCATCTCCATCGATGACAAGTACATCTGGTACACCTATGACAATGTCCTCGACGTCCTCACGCACGATCCAGACTGTGGTAACTGTATGTACTCACTTGGATACACAATCACTCGATCAATCACTAACCATTTACCCTCCATACTTAGTCGCCACAACTGGAAAGGCCAAGACATTTGTGAGTGATGTGTCACAGGTTATTTCTGATCCACTGGCTAAGCAAGGACGTTCACTGTATGTTTATCAAAAGACATCACAGGTGTTGACACAGTATGTCTATCCAGATAACTTGAGCGTGCTCAAGAATGTCAGTTGGGTCAACATTGGAAGTGCCTGTTACATATCACAATTTGGTGTTCCAGATAAAGTGTCCGTAAGCTACCCCGACGGCTTCCGTATCTTCAAGGTGCCCACCTCTCAAGCCCGTGACTACCTTGTCAAGAACGACGGTGACTCCTTCTGTGGACCATTCGTTCAAAATGGTTTGGATGTTGTATGTATCACTCATTCAATCAATCATACAATCGTTCAATCACTAACTCGACTGATCTCGATGATGTAGTACTCATTGCCAAAGGTTGGTGGAAATAGTTTCTTGAAGATTGTGCCTGGATTGGAGTTCCAAGTTAGTAGACCATGTATAAACTCTACAAATGGACAGATTGTGATCAAGGGAAGTGTTGACCGTTATAACTTCTCATGGGCCGATACCAACAACACCAACTCATCAAGATTCAATCTTACCAGTGGTCACTACACCGTCCAGATCACCGCCAAAGAGATTGATATCTCTGACTTCAAGACCTTGGACGTTGTTCCACCAAATGGTATGTACCTCAAATCAATCAATCAAACATGAAACCATTCCACTCACTCACTCACCTTCAATCAATCATATTAGATCCAACATTTGTGAACATTCAAAACACATGCCAGGGTAACTCAATGGGTGCACTCAACTTCTCATTGCCAAAGGATCCATCGATCAACTATACTTATGTGATAGCAGATGGGAACTTCACGAGGAACTCAACTATTGGGTACTTTGATTTCCTCAAGTCCAAGAACTACACAGTCAAGATCAACACGACCGACGAGTATGGCTTCAAGTGTACCTACACCAAGTTTGAGAATGTAGTTGAAGGATGTATGTATCTCCATGATCAATGAATGACACTCAATCAATCAAACTAACATATTTCCAAATAGTGCCACATAAACCACTTTATGAAGCTGATGGTGGAAGCTGTTTCAACAAGTCAGATGGTAGTATCACTATTACCAATTATAATCCGGCAGAGTATACATATCAGTTGTTACCGCCATCACCCAAAGCAATTGTGAATGGAACATTCATAGACCTTGTTGGATCAAACACTCAGTTCTACACACTGATAGTATCACAGAGTAACCTCACTCTCAAATGTCCATCCTACACCAACATCATTGTGCCACAGCCACCCAGTATGTATCCATCCCGTCCATCAATCATTCATATACTAACATAATCAATCAAACAGAGTTTAGATTCCCCAACTATAATATTACCGCACCACCTTTATGTTATGGATATAACTCATCGATGGAGATTGAGTATATAAAGGGATTGGATTATAGGTTGACACATCAGACTGGTATTGTGTACCATGCCTATCTATTGGCAAATGGATACAACCGTTACCGCAATCTACCACCTGGAAACTACTCCTTGGAGTGTGTAGTGAGCAGCCGTGATGGGGGCGTCTGCAAGAAGGCCACCAAGTACATCTTTATCGACCAGCCATCAATGATCCAGCTCAACACAACATTGGTGACACCAGAGTGCACAGAGGATGGCAAGGAGGACCAGCTGGTCTACGCACATGGCGGCTCGCCAATCAACGGCACATCGTACCTGTTTGTCGGACAATACGCCAATGCCACTGGACCCGCACTCAATGTATCGTACTGGATTGATGGCGTCTACTTGATCAACATCACAGATCAATATGGCTGCGTGTCCCAATACAAGAACTTCACAGTGCAGCGTCCTCCTGGATGTGCGATAGCCACATCGCACCCGACTGGAACTGGCAAGACAGTCAACCCAGACAGCACCAACGAGGGCCAGTTCGGATTTGTCACGCCAGCTGATGATGCTGCCATTGGCATCGGTGTGGGACTTGGTATTGGTGTGCCAATGTTTGCCGCGGCCGTTGCCATGGGTGTACTCTGGTGGCGTGGACGATGGTTGGGCGTCAAGGTACCTGCCACTCCAGCCAACACCATACCGATATACATGGGTGGCAAGATACATAACATAGATAACTTCTAATTAAATATTAATTTTATTCAATTACTAAAATTACTGTTATTTCAAATCAAAGAGCAAGGCATATTGGGAGATCTTCTTGACCTGAGCTGTCAATTTGACGGCTTTGCTCTTTGTAGATGTGAGATAATGTTGTTCCTTGAAGGTATAAAACTGATCAGGGGGAAGAACGAAATATAGTTCCACGTTTGCCACAGTTCCTCCAAGTTGATCGACAATGCTGGACAGCTCCTTCATCAGAGGTGGATGATCTGGCGAAACTGTTACTTGAAACAACTGATTCGGTTTGATCAAGCTGTCGATGGCTGGAAAGTTGGAGAAGCTTGGGACAAGATAAACATTGCCAAGAGCTGGTCCAATATCAGAGATAGACTTGATAACCAATGATGATGATGGTTTGGGGAAGGTAATGGTGTCCATAATGTTGGTCTTGAGAGCTCTTCTTTGGAAAGTCCCTCCATGTTGTTTCAACTTTCGATGCACTGCTGCCTCAAGGAATGATCCACCAAGTGGAGAGTGAAGGAACCTCGGCACTGCCAGGTTTGCAATGACTTGTTGCATGTTATTGGCCTCGATCGCTTGAACTGCGACATTGGCAACGTACTTGGATGAGAATCGTAACTCCATGGCACCATATTTTGGAATGCCAACGACGTCGATTGGGATGATTTGAATAATCTTGTGGCTGCCTGGTGCTTGTGGGTCTTCTTCGCCGATACACTTCAAGCAATCGTCAAGGTTAAGTGTAGGAATAACCTGCTCAAGAGAGTGTTGGAAAGCTGGATTATCAGCCTTCTCCAAGATGAATCGTGGAATACCTCCCCACTTTGACCAGAGATCGTCGAGGGTTGCCTAAAGAAGATCGATTAGTATGTGCATAAACATAATATCCATTAATATGGGTAAGTACCTGAGTCACCTGAGGATACAATAGGGGTCTGACATGGTCGACTTCATCCTTCTCCCATGGGGGCATATACATGCGAGCGGTGCGATCGTTCTTGAGGAATTCCTTATACTGGGTTGGATCGGGTGAAGATACAATGATGGTCTTGGCGGCGACATTGGACTCCTTCTTGCTGTCGACCAAAAAGTATGTAGACTTCTTGGTCAGGTAGGGGACAACCAGTGCCTTGGGACCGTGCTTGAGAATAGGAGAACCATTCAAATCGTAGCCGTATAGATAGTAGGAATGTTCATCGTTTGAATGAATGGAGTGGATGACCATTGTTTCCTTCTTCTTTGCGATCTCCGCCATCAGGTAGTAGAGGAAGCATGACTTTCCAATGCCGGGGTTGCCAATCACAACGTACGAGCTGTAAAATGGTTGTTGTGGTGGCGCAGAGGCGGAGCTGTGTGTCGCGTTGGTTATGTTTATGCCTTCGTATCGATCAAATTGGGCAAAGATCAAACTCTTTATTTCCTCATAGCAATCTCTCACATAGAGGGATGATCTCTTGGAAGGATTGCCCAAGAAATGCAGATCACTCGGGAGTGTGAGAACCTTTGATTTTGGATCAACAACACACGTCTGGAGTGCAACCCAAAATGACAAGTTCTCAGTCTCTACTGCGGCTGATGATTGGATAGAGTATGAGAATGAATGTAAGATCAACAATGAAATGTGTGACTTACATAAATAAGGTCCAGTTTGTCCAGTGAAGTATCCATTTGGAAGAATTGAGTGAGGTCCAGTTGTACCTGTTTGTCCTATATTGTAAACTTGAGAGGTGTTAATGTTGATGAGGACATTGGCCTGATGTTGTTTGTACTTACGTGCTTGGGGAGGATTGGTTAGTTCATCGAGAATCTTCTTCTGGGCTTCGTCGAATTGCGTTTGATTTATGAGCTTCTTTTCAAGCAAATCCTTCAAGGTCTGCAAGCGCTTGGTTGGGCTATTGGTTGGGCTGACTGACATACCTGTTGCTGTCTGAAAACTATTGAATGAAGCGGTGTAGATCACAAAACTATGAATTGAGGAAGTGCAGTATTTGTTTGTTTGTTTGTTTGTTGTGGTGTACTACATAGAATTAAATAAATGAATTTATTTATTCATTCAAATATTATTACTCTATCAGATTTGCAATCAATGAATCAATGTCTTTTTCTTCATGGCTTAGTTGTGCTCGCGGGTGGCTACCAGCCAGAAGTTGATTAACGAGATCTATGTGCTCTGATTAAAGAGGAAGGTGAGATTACTTGAAGGAATTCATCCCATCAGTTGGCCTCCCCTCCAAACCTGTCCAGTCGCGATCGCCTCTATCGGTCAAAGTCATCAGTGCATAATAGACATCTGATCAGTTGTCGACATGTTGACGATGGTTGATGACTGGAAATGAATGACCTATTGAATGGCGACAATGAGTAATTGACGACAGATGGCGACGAAGGTTGACGTCGATGAATCATTGGTGACCAAATAGTGACAATGTTTCACTGCAGTGTTGACTTGGATAATCGCCAACGACTACAGTCGAGATACTATAGTATATGCTATACCTGTTTTGAAGTATGCGTTTGTTCTTAGGTCTCTTTGATTGATTATGTAACATGTCAAGAGTAAATATTCAAACACAAGAAAGAAGGACCAAAACGATCTTGTACAATTTCACGACATGTATGTGTAGTTTAGTGTCTTTAATTGAGAGTACCAGTGTCACTCATTGATTGGTATCAGTCTAATATAATCAATGTAGAATAATGGAGTGCGTGTGGAACTGCGGAAATCAAGATGTGATGGCCGTCCGAGATTGGAAGGGGCACCAACTTGGTCAAGGGTGAAGGTATGTTTCTTCCAGTTGGTTGTCACAGGTATTGAGACCATAGTATCATAACCGAATTGTAGAGTGTTGAATGATTGAGTGCCCTTGACATAGAACTCGATGCCCTTGAACACGTTGGCCCACTTGACAGGCAGCTCCGTGCCAATCTGTATCGAGCCGCCAGTAAGTGAGGTGCAGGCGACACAAGTAGATCCATTGGCTGCTCCTCCAACTGACTTGTCACACCAATTGACCTCGGTGCTCCATGACCAATCTTGCCAGCCAATGTTGGGATTGCCCCAAGACGAAGTGGTCGTCAGACCATTCTGATACACGACTCCCGAGGTCAACACGGGGTAGGGTGCCAAGCAGTTAGAGTGGAAGCTAGAGGCAGGATCGGGGAATTGTCCTGAGCCCTCGGATATTACTGCACGAGTAGACGACGCGATGAATACATCCACTCTGGCACCAAACTGATCGTATACACGGGCAATCACTGGAAATTGAGCAGGTTGATTACTGGAATATGTCCAGAAATTGTAGTTCTGGCGTTTGAGAGAGCTGACTACTCCGTTGGCTTGTTCGATATCAACACGATCTAGGCCTGTCCTATGATTGAATACGACGAACTCGAACCAAGATGGTGTTGTAGGGGCATCCTTCATTGACAACTTGATATTTCCCGTTACATAATCACACGAGACCTTCTTTGCATTTGTCATCACTACTCCAAAGCTACCGCCAATACTTTGGAATGCCTGAGGACTCAGATCCAAATGTGGGAATGCAGTATCACACCAGCCAGGGTCGGGACATTGATCGACAACCTATGTTTGAATGTATGATTGGTGAGTGATTTTGCATAAATGATTGATTGATTGATTGATGGAATTATACCACATACAGTTACAACTTGACTTCCAAATGGTCCGTCAATCTCATAACATGTTCCACAAGCATAGGAGGCGTTATAGATTATTGATGCGGGGGCAGTTACAAAGCGATGCTTGGGTCCTGTTGGTCCCATGAGTGGACCATAGCCACAGTTACCATGCTCGATTGCTTCATACCATGTTGATCTTGAAGAGAAACATGTTGACAAGTCCACTGAGGCCTTCACAAATACTACCAACAATAATAATGATATTATTAATATTATTTGTTTAAAATAATTAGACATTATTATTAAATAATTTAGATTAGATTATTATTATTAATATAGATAATTTAAAAAGATGGATGTAGAGTGTAGGTATGTGTATCTGTTTTGAACTAACTTAAATATAACTTTAAGGTTGAACTGGATTTTAGATGAAGATGCAGAATAATAAAATAACTATTGGACGAGTCAGATGTGAGGACAGGACGAGGAAGTTGAAGTCTTAAGGTCCACAAGGTCATTCTTGACCTAAAATGGTTGGGCTTGGGGGACAAATAACCAACCAACCAATCGCTAAAACAATCTAAAAAGTGATGTGGACCTTTGACCACAATGAAGGTGAGTGCGTGTGAGGGCAAGGGGTGAGGCTCCGAACAAACAATGTCGGTTTCCCCATTCCCCCTAACAACCCCCTTTAAGTTTGTACTTTTACTTGTGAAGAGGGGAAATGTGGGGGTTTGTTTGTTTGTTTGGACTTGTGGTCTTTGTGTTTAAGACCCACTTAGAGGTCAACCTACTTTAGAACAATCAATCAATTTCCCGACCGACCAGTCTGTCTTTCAGTAAGTCCTTATCAAGGTCGAATCCCAAGGTGGCACCATCTTCATTTCCCATCAATACATAAATACATATATATATTTTAATAATTTATATCTTTGGATAATGAACAAAATAAACTAAGGTCGTTTGAATCTAGATTCTTGAATAAGGATCAGAATGATGGGGATGTTAGACGATGTTCGGATTGAATGAATGGGTAAGTTGGTGGAAAGAGACAAACCAAGACCCAGGGTTTGGGTTCAAGTTGTGAGTGTCACAGTTTGTTTCAAATAAAAATGAAGAGAATTAATCGTGATCAAGATCTCCAAACACCAAAACATACATAAAAAAATAGTATTAAATACATTGTAAACAATTGCAAAGGGTTGTTTCTGATCGCAATGATCAAATATCTGATGAGACGTGATGCGTGTGTGTTTTGTCATAGGGTATTTATGGTGCGTGGCATGTCTGTTTGTATGTTTGTATGTTTGTTTAAGAAGAAGTATGTACGAGTAGTGACCTTCTAGGCCTAATCGTGGAGTGGTCTTGTTCGTGACCTTGGCGAGAGAGACAGAGAGATAAGTGTTGTTTTTGTGGATGGGGAAGTGAGTGAACGTGTGTGGGGTTAGTGAGGCCGGGCTGTTGGACAAGCTAAAGTCCTTTAGCCCCCCAACAAAGGATACTGTGTGGTGTGGATGGGGTAGAAGCACCCTTGAGCAACAAAGGGATGAATGTGATTGCTACTTCAAGACGGCGGCAGTGTCTTCTGCGTTTGAACCCAAACACCTCAACTCGAATGTTACAAGTTCTGCCCTTCATCAAGGAGGTCCCATCCCTCACTCTACTTCAAACTACTTGAAACCAAATTCGTCCTACATATACATATACACTTAACATATATATTTAAACTAGCAAGCAGTACTTTCAACTTCAATCGTTCAATCAGTCTATTATATCAGTCGATCATCACCATCTTCCTTCAACTTTAAATTATTAATTATAAATTATATAAACTTTAATCAAAGTACCTATCTTGAGCATTAACAGCGTATATCAATCAATTCAAATCAAATCAGTCCAATCAAACCAACTCATTAATAATACATTGTATAGCATTTATAACCAACCAGGCAGTTTAGAGCCAACTACACATTAATCAATCAATCAATCAAAGTCAGCCAATCAATCACTCACTTTATTAATCCAATCAATTAATTAAATAATCAATTACCAACATTTATCTCAATTAATCAATCCAGCACCAACCAATCTATCAATATCAATATCAATAATCCTATTCCCCCAACAACAAACCCAAACTCCAACTCAAACTCAACTTAACATCACCATATTATTCCTACAAAAACGAATAGAAAGAGGTCATTCTCTCCACTCACCGGATCATCATCAACGCCATCATCTCCAATAGCACCTACCATCGTCGTTAAGGAATAAGAAGAAGAAGAACAATAATTACCCGGACAACTTATCATATATTGTACCACACACGCCAGTCCAGGCCAAGGCCAACCAACACCTGTTCTTCTTCCTCCTTCCATTCCTTTGATCCAACGAGGGGAGAGGGTGACCTCATTGCCCCCGAAGCAGTGTCCGCTCATCCTGTCCGCCGACCAATCGCCGCTGTACTTTTACATCCTGTCAACAACAACAACACCACCTTTCACTTGAACTAGGGTATACCATCCCCCAGCTCATTCTACCTTCCGTCCGCCACACATATCCAACCTTATCGCTTGCTCTCGTTTATTTATTTATTTATATAATTATTATTATTATCCTTTTCAACTCCTCCGTCCATCAACTTCCAACCACCATCCTGCCAACATGGAGGATCACATTTCTCTCGCCAACTCCACGCATCAACATCATGCCACAATGATCCAACAACTTCAACAACAACAACAACAATATTATACTACTACCACTACTTCCACTCAATCACCTTTTTATATCGAACCGATAGAGTCCTGTTGTTTTGCCAACCAACATCAGCACCAGCATCAACTACAACTCCAACACCAACATCAACAACATCAACTTCATCAACTTCAACACCAGCAGCCACACCAACAGATGGTGTTGACCAACGTCAATGAATACTTGGCTGGTGGTTGCGGCTCAGACGATGAGCTCAACACCAGTGATGAGGACGCCTCGGCGAGTCTCTCGTCCAGCATGTCATCGCCCGACATGGACGCCGCCGTCGCCATCATTGATTGCCAGCCACAAATGTTCCTCAACCCCCACCACTTCCCGACCAGCATCGCAAACTCCTTTGTCTACATTGACCCAACTCAAACTCAAACTCCAACCCAAACCCAGCTTCACCCGCTGCCCATCTACCATCAGTATCCCTACATTATGGGCAGTGCCACCGCCTCCAGCCTCCAGCAGCAGCTCCAGAGACCTGTTGTTGCTGAGTCCATGTCCTACATCCCGACCACCCCAACTGCCACCCCTTGCTTCCTCACCTCCCAGCTCGAAGCACACTCCTCCCCAATGTCTTCGGCGATCTCCTCCTCATCGCCAATCCAGACCTATGTCCAGTCTCCACCCCCATCATCGCCCAGAGAGCCAGTCGTGGTGGAGACCACAGCGGCCGTCTCTAAGAAGACCGCCGCCACCCCCACCGCCTCATCAAAGAAGCGCAAGCATGGCACAGACTCCAAGTCGTTGGATGTGAGCCAAACCCAAACCTCGCGCCAAGCCATTCCCATCCCCACTTTGGCCATCCCCACAATCCCATCAGTGGTCCCATCAACGCCACGTGCCAACTCATCAATCTCGATCGTGGACAATCAGATCTTGTTGCAGGTGACCGACTTCTTCCACCAGCTCCAGTCCAACAGGACATTGCCACTGTTTGTCCAGATGTCCGATGTGCAAAGGACACACTACTATGATGAGGTGCGTGCCGGCATCCCAAAGACCTCGCCCAGCCAGGCTGAGAGCCATCGCATCACCTTGCGCGCACTCTACCTCATCCTTATGGACTGTGTCAATCATCCATTCTTGTTGCAGAACTCCAACAAGCAGGAGCAGCTCACTGCTGATCAACTGCTCCAATGTTCTGGCAAGCTCATCGTGCTTTCCACCATCATCGAGACCATGCACGCCACCCTCAGGTCCAACACCACCAACCATTCCATCAAGCCCCAACGACTGTTCGTCCTCTCCTCCTCCCAGTCCATGCTCAACCTCCTCGAGACTTATTTCAAACTAAGGTATGTGTCAGACTCTGAGTCTGGTACACCATATGGAACTATTCCACTCACTAACTCAATCAATCAAACAGCTCAATCAAATTCACCAAGCCAGGCAATGATCAAACTGCCACCAACGAAATATCCAAAGAGGTCGAATGTAAGGAAGAGACCGCCGCCACACCTTTGGTGATCTTGTCCACATTCCTTGAGTCATCCATCTATGTTCCATTCACCGCCAATGATATAGTCGTTGAGTTTGATCACTACTGGCAACAACAACCACAMACAGCAGTCGCCCGCCAACACCAACGCCAGTGATCAAGCTGCTGCAGACGACATGGTAGTGTCACTACCATCCGCCAACTATGATCCACGTGCCATATGCCCCACCATCATACTCATTGCTGAGGACTCGGTTGAGGAGTGGGCCTACCTCCAAGACCAAGAGTCCATCGAGGCAAAGAACAAGTCCACCTCCACCACCCCAAGCGGTGCCAAGAGAGAGGGCATGTTCGAGATGATGAAGTTCTGCCTACTCAAGCTGTCACAGTCAAGGAATGGCACACCTCGAGTGCCATGCACGCCACCAACACCACACGAGTCTTACAGCTCACCCTTGATCTCATCGCCAAGCACATCCTCGTCGCCACTTCTAATGGGCGCGAGCGCCTCGCCAACCCCGCTCCCACCCCTCTCGCTATCCAACCCAGGCATGCTCACGCTCTACTCCCAGATCCACAAGGACCAGCCGTCCGACTACAACCCATGGAAGAGCAACTCCAGGATCAACCTAGTGCCCTCGTCTTTGTCGTCGCCAGAGCTCGGCAGCTCGTTGGACGGTTCGTCCAAGGGCGCGCCCGAGAAGAAGAGAAGGACGTCAAAGAGACAGAAGAATCTTGGCGAGCGTATATGCTTTGTGTGCAAGAAGGATGAGGATAAGAATGGACGAACATCAATCGTGCAGTGCCGTTCGTGTCCAGTCATATACCATCGCTCCTGCGCTCAGCTCTCCCACACGCCACGCAGCTGGAAGTGTCCCAGACATTCGTGCTGTAAGTGCAGGAAGACCCCCAACGAGGCAGGCGGCAGCTTCTTCATTTGCCAAGAGTGTCCATCATCCTACTGCATCACATGTCTGCCCAACGACATCACCATCCTCAAGAACGACGTCGCCGCGCATCACGATCATACCGTTGTGTCCACGCCCCGTCAACTCCAGTCCTCCGCCTCGTCTTCAACCTTGTCTCCCAGAAGTGTTGCTGATGGTCCATCCGATGATGTACCAGCAGTGACCACTCCCAACACCAAGAAGCCAACAAAGACGCCAAGGCCAACAGTAAGCATACTATGTGGCAAGTGTACGCCACTTGCTGCTGCTGCTGCTGCCGCCGCTGCCGCCTCCACATCCAAGGATTCACCAGTCGAGTGTCCATCCTTGTCATGCCCTGAACTCGCTGATGTGTGAGTCCTTGCCCTCCCTGTCACTCTCGACCCTGACCCAACAACCAATAAACTCAACCCGCGCTCCGACAACCCTTACCCTTACCCTTACCCTTACCCTTACCCTTGCCCTTGCCCTAACACATACACTTGCATACTTGTACAATGTTTAGACAAGACATACTATAGCCTTGTCTAATACTTTACTTAGGGGATGGGTATGTATCCACTAATCCTGGTCTGTGGCGTTCAACAGGAATCCAATGATGTGAGACACTGGAATGGCCTTGTCAATGGGTATCGTTGACTTGTCTAAAGTCAAGTCTGTCTGTTGCTGCTGTTGTTGTTGCTGTTGTTTGCTGTGGTGTGTCGTCCGGCTCTTGTGGAGGAGGTGGAGGTAGGATGGAGATGAGCTATTACTCCCTGTTGATGAGCCATGTTCTGGGGTGGTTGGTGTTGTTGGAAAATTGTTGTTGCTATTTCCGTGGCCGTGGCCGTGGCCATGGCCGTTGCCGTTGCCGTTATGTGTTGTCGTTGTTGTTGTTGTTGTTGTTGTTGTCGATGATGATGATGATCCATTGGCGCTACCATTGGCGGAATGTCTGTTGTTGTTGTTGTGGTTGGTCGTTGGCGATTTGGAGCGAAAGGAATTCGCCAGAAGGTCTGGCGTTGTGAATGATGGCGTGGACATTCCACTCGCGCCTCCACCTCCACCTCCACCTCCTACACTTCCGACTCCGCCAAACGGAGGCATGTCAACAAAGTCCTTGGGCTGGCGTTGATGATGGCGAATCGGATATGTTGGATCCGATAATGGAGGGTAGCTTGTGCGACCATGGTTACTGTTGCTCGTGTTACCAGCTAGGTCGTGTAGTGAGGGCGGCGGCTTTGGTACAGTGCCAGCCCCTGACCCGCCACCGCCACCTCCACCCGCACCCAGATTGTTGAAGGGCAGGATGGACAGTGGCGGATGTCTCTGTTGTTGGAGCTGGAGCTCCTGTCTCTGTTGCAATTGCTGCTGCTGGTGTTGGCGTAGTTCCAGCTGTTGTAAAGGGTGTGGACGATGATGTTGGAGTATGGACAGTGTCTGTTGCAAGGTAAACTGAGGCATAGTCGATGGAGAGTAATACGATGAGGGTAAGGGTGATGGTGATGTTGATGTTGATGTAGACTGTTGCTGCTGCTGCTGCTGATGATGATGAAGCTGTTGTTGATGTTGATGCTGTTGATGTTGATGTTGTTGTTGTTGCTTCACTCCACGAACAAAGTCATTCAGGTTGTTTATATGCTGTGTCATTACTTGTTGCTCACTCTGCGTCTGTTCATGTAGTCGCTCCAGTGAGTCTATTCGTTGTGTCAAGTTTGACAATGTACCAATCAACATCTGTTGCATCTGACTATTATCAAGACCAGCTGTTGTTGCTCCGGCTGGGGATGGTGCAGTGGCTGGTAGTATGTTATGTTGGTTAGTTTATGTGATTGCCTTGCCTTGCCATGCTTGCTAGCATGGGTTACCCTTCCCTTACCATTGGGGTGGCTATGCTTGGTGCGCTTGTTGGACATTGTTGTGGTTGGCTGTTTGTCGACGACAGAGGGGCTGTTGTTTGCGTCAGGATTGTTGTCGTCCAGGTCTTCCACGAACTCATCCTCTTCGACATTGTTGTTGTTGTTGTTGTTGTTGGTGTCTGGCTGCTCGGGTGACATGTCATCTGACCACTTGTTGGCAATGTCCTCCAATGTAGTATTCTTTGGCACCGACCATGGATTGACATACTTCTTCAACTTCCAATATCCATTGCATCCTACCTTTTGCTGACCTGACAAGAAGAATGGGGAATGTGACAATGCATCCTGAGAGAGTGAGAGAGAGAGGAGAGAGTAGATAGAGTGTTGGATGTTGCCAGCAACAATACATCTTGGTTAATCATCTTTACCAGACACCCGCGCGAGATAGACACGAGACACGAGACACGAGAATGAATGAATGAATGAGCAAGTACCTGTATCTGTTTCTTCCAGTTGTGTTGACGGTTCTTTGAAGGGCATAGCATGTCCCAGTGATGCAGGACATAGCCATAGACGTCGCGTCGCAGCGAGAAGAACTCCCTCTGCTTGATCTGCTTCTTGAGGGAGTAGAACACGACCCAGAGTATGGTGGACCAGGAGAGACGGGACATTAGACAGGAGGGTGCGCCACTGGTGCACACCTGGCACGGGTCATTGCCGCCACAGCCAACGCCACCAACTGCCGGCGAAGCTTCGTACGCCTCTTTGGGAGGTCCCGAAGGGCTGGAGGGTGGTGAGTCGTCCTCGTCACTTTCCTCCTCGCTCTTCTTCCTCTTTGTTGCTGCGCCCGAACTTTTCTTTTTTGTCTTGGCGTGGGTTGTGGCGGTCGTGGCGGCGGTGGTGGCGACTGCTTGTTGTGTGGTTGCCGCTGTCGTCGCTGCTACTGCGGCAGTGTCGACATCCGACTTTTTCTTCTTTGTCATCGCTTTTGACGTTGACGAAGATTTTGATGATTTGGATGATGATGTGGAAGTTGTCTTCCTTTGTTTTGTTCGACGAGTTGTAGTACCAGCTGCAGCAGTAGTTGTTGTTGTGGTAGTTGTTGTTGTTGTAGTTGTTGCTGCTGCTGCTGATGATGATGAAGGAGATACTAGTCCTTCTTCTTCTATATCTGTTGTTATAATTGATGCTACATTAAATGATGATGATTGAATTGATAGAGGTGATTGTTGTGATTGATTGGTGGATGTTGATGTGCCTGTGCCTGAGCCTGTGAATGCAGTGGTTGAGGCGCCTTTGTTGTTGTTGTTGCTCTTGTTATTATTGTTATTGTTGTTGACATCCACATTTGGAGGAGGTGGTGTAGGTTGTGACGTTTGTTCGTTCATCGCACACACTCAAACACTCAAACACTCGAGCACAAAGGTCAACTTGATCAAGTTTGGTTGGGGTGAGTGTGTGTTAGACTTGGTGGCTCAGTGACCTGATGATGTGTGTTTGTGGGGAGGGCCTTGCTGGGTTTGTGGTTGAGCCTTGCGCAACCAACTGATGGTTGGATGGATGGATGAATGTACGAGTGAAAGGATGTGAGTATATTATCGTTTAATACAACAACAAAGTATTCTTTAAATCTAAAACAAAACACTATCTATCTTATCTTTGTAATAATAAATAAAGTGTTTGTATTATCAATGAATGATTGAATGAATGAAATGGTTATAGTTATTGAGAGTTGGGAATGAATGTACGAGTTAATGAATGTGTGTGAATGATGGGGAATATGCAACGAGGTTTGTTGTTGTTGTTTGATTGATTGATGTAGCTTGGAGCTGTGATGAATGAATGAATCAAAGTGGTCTGGAAGTCAAATTGTTGAGGCGTTGGTTGGGTTATAGAGAGTCAACCAAACTGAGTTCACACAAACATAACCAACATCTCTTCTTCACTTCCCACCCCCTCCCTATCGTTGACATCTATTACATTGTACAACAAATGATGCCTGCAAACCAGCAAACCACACCACCCGTAAAGTTCTGATGGTGTGGTGGAGACCACAGACCCCACATCCTATTAATTAATTAACTAATTAATTAATTAACCCCCACAAAATCAGATCGCCAATCATCTTGTTGTACAACTAGTACCCCAGTGATAGCATCATAGGGTATCACAACTATAACAAGGTTGGTTAGACGACTCTTGGTTAGTGGGGAGGTTGTTGATTATGTTATGTGTGTTAATTAATTAATTAATTAATATATCGATTCAAACTCATCGACATAGTCAACATCTTCATTCGGTTTTATTCCTCTCTATTCCAATCGCACATTAGTAAGTTGGTATATTTGTTTCAAACTACATCATATTTAGATCTTCAAGATTGCGCAAACTCATGAGCATCTTCACCATCAATCAATCAATCAATCGACCAAGCTACAAACAACAAACAACTAACAAACAAACTTGATCCTGGATCAAACCTTGGTTGGAGAGAGCAAGAAATGAACGAAACGAATGAATACAGGGAACACAATATTGACACCATTCACTTTTTGATTGATTGGTGATGGATAATGTAAAATAATAATTAATAGTATGGTTGATATTCACAACCATCCAAATTTATAAATTATAATTTTAATTAATTTTATTTGAAACAACAATCAAACAAAGACATTAATCAGTCATGTCAACAACAACTCCATTTGGTTTGGCTTTTTTGATGGCTTTGGTGTTAGTGATGGGGTAGCCCCAACTTCAACTTCAAAGAGGTGTTTTGTTTCCTTCCCTTCCTTTCAAAAGGTGGGTGATAGAGGTGGTGTCACTTCAAAGATCTCAATCTATTTCATTTCAGCCAGGCCTGTCATTTAGTTAATCTATCTCTCCTATTACTCTGTATTTATATATATTTATATTTGTAAGTTATATGATATTAACATTGATTGATTGATTGATTCATTCTAACATTCAATCATACTTTGTAAAGTCAATAATATCCAACAATAATAATGTCATTCTCTGCAAGCGAGATTCAAGACTTTAGAAAGCAGTTCAATCAATTCGATGAGAATGGTGATGGAAAGATCGACTCGATAGAGTTGACAAAGATCCTCAATGCGTTGGGCGAGAAGCTCAGCGGAATCCAGGTCAGAGACATGATCAAGGAGGTCGACACGGACAACAGCGGCACCATCGAGTTTGACGAGTTTGTCAAGGTGATGGAGATCGCCAAGAAGTCGTCGTCCAGCACCGGCTTTGCCAACGTCGTCAAGAAGGTCGGCCAGGTCAACGTGCTCAGCGGATACTCGGGCTCGACCGCCTCGGGCACCTCCCACTCCTACTCGGACGAGGAGAAGTTCGCCTTCATCGACTGGATCAACACCTCGTTGGCCAAGGACGCCGACCTCAAGGCCCGTCTGCCAATCTCCACCGATGGCGACGCCTTCTTCAAGGCCTGCCACGACGGTCTCGTCCTGTGCAAGCTCATCAACGACTCTGTCCCAGACACCATCGATGAGCGTGTCCTCAACAAGAAGAACCTCAACACCTTCCGTATCAACGAGAACAATGTCCTCTGTGTCAATTCTGCTCGTGCCATCGGTTGTTCCGTTGTCAACATTGGTGCCCTTGATCTTATGGAGGGTCGTGCTGTAAGTATACCGTTCATTCAAAGTTCCAAACAATCAATCACTCACTCATTCAATCACTTCTCTTCCCTCTTTCCCCCTCCCCTGTAAACAGCATTTGATCATGGGTCTCGTATGGCAAATCATCAAGATTGGTCTGTTTGCCAAGATCAACTTGACCAACCACCCAGAGCTCTACCGTTTGTTGGAGCCAGGTGAGACCATTGATGACTTGCTCAAGTTGTCTGTGGAGGAGATCTTGCTCCGTTGGTTCAACTACCACCTCAGAGAGGCTGGACACCCACGCCGTGTCAAGAACTTCACCGGTGACATCAAGGACAGCGAGTGCTACACCATCCTTCTCAAGCAGATCGCCCCCAAGAACGCCGGTGTCGACACCAACGCCCTCAACGAGTCCAACTTGGAGCGCAAGGCCGAGCTGGTCCTCGTCAACGCCGACAAGATTGGCTGCCGCAAGTTCCTGCGTCCACGCGACATTGTCAACGGCAACCAAAAGCTCAACCTGGCTTTTGTCGCCAACCTCTTCAACACTCACCCAGCCCTCGAGCCCGTCGCCGAGGTCGTTGTCATTGAGGAGACCCGTGAGGAGAAGACCTTCCGTAACTGGATGAACTCACTCGGTGTCGACCCATTCGTCAACAACCTCTACGAGGGAGTCCACGACGGTCTCGTTTTGATCCAGCTGTTTGAGAAGGTCAGACCAGGCGTCGTCGACCAGAAGAGAGTCAACTACCCACCATACAAGGCCATCGGTGCCGAGATGAAGAAGCTCGAGAACTGCAACTACGCCATCGAGCTCGGCAAGAAGTTTGGATTCTCGCAGGTTGGTATCGACGGCAAGAACATCTACGACAGGAACAAGACCCCAATCCTGTCCACAGTCTGGCAGCTGATGAGAGCACACGTGCTCTCCATCCTCAACGCCCTCTCCAAGGACGGCAAGCCAATTGGCGACCCCGAGATCATTGAGTGGGCCAACCAGAAGCTCAGATCAGGTGGCAAGTCCTCCTTCTCTGGCTTCAAGGATGCCAAGCTCGCCACTGGCCGCACCATCCTCGATCTGATCGAGCTCGTCCGTCCAGGCTCCATCGACGAGTCCATGGTCACCTCCTCAGGTTCCGCTGAGGACAACCTCCTGAATGCCAAGTTGGCCGTGTCCAGTGCCAGAAAGATTGGTGCCGTCGTCTTTGCTCTCCCAGAGGACATTGTTGAGGTCAAGCCAAAGATGTTGATGACCATCTTTGCCGGTTTGATGGCCGTTGATCAACAATAAGCTAACGCAAGTTAGTTAACACACATGTATGACAAGTTGTCGAATAGTAGTGATGACATGATCATCACTAATATACACACACACTTCGATCAATCAATCAATCAATCAACCAGTCCAATATGATATCAGGTCACATCACCTCTATTTAATAAACTCCCCTTGTATTCCAATAACAACAACAGTAATATTTCCAACAACTTCATTCAAGAACTTCTATCCTACTCTTTTTTTTTGTTATCTCCATAACAAGATAATGATAGATTTATGATAGAGATACACTGCATTATATCACTTACGCATAC